AACATTTTCAAAAAAGAGCCCAGTAAAGCCGTTCGGCGATACTATTTTTTTAAAATTAAAAAAGAAGTATAGCCAGGCGGCGATACTATTTATAAACTTGTAAAAAAAAGGAATTTGGATCCAGCTATACCAGGCCATTCACAAAAACAGCTTGCTCAATCGAAACGACGACGTTTCACGAGCAACAGCTTCTGTTACCGAAAATTCTGAATTTTAGCTTCGCCGCAGTGCATACTCGTCTCTGCTCCACAGCTCGTTAAACCCTCAAATGGGTTTTCTTAGAAGAGCTTCGAAGACCCTGAAGTCATCCAAGTACTTGCCTTTGTTGCAAACCAACTCTAAATTCAGCCCAATATCTAGTCTTTCCAGACGGAACCCGCTTTACAGTGAATTCAGTTATGGCCATTTTGGATTGAGCCAAGCGTTTTGTTCCCATTCTCGGAAAAACAGCAAAGACAGTGACATAGATTTGAGCCAGTATCCCACTGAGAGGATTAGGAACTTCTCGATAATCGCCCATGTCGATCACGGAAAATCTACTCTCGCTGATAGGCTTTTGGAGCTCACTGGGACTATTAAGAGAGGTCATGGTCAGCCTCAGTACCTGGACAAATTGCAGGTATATAAATCTCTTATTATTGTTTTGTGCAATTTGGAGAGGGAGAGAGGAAAATGGTTGTTTTTTGGAATGTTTTCTTGCTTTGAGTTTCTGCATTGAGGATATAAGTCTGTTTCAATCGTCTGGTATATGGAATTTGTTCTTGTTGTCTCTGTCGGCACGATAGTCTGGTTTACTTGCTATTTTTATGCATAAAGTTTAAGTTTGTATATATTATATTTTTGGTTGCATTTGAAGCCCTTGCCATTCTTTTCTCTTAGTTTAGGAATGAACCCGTGTCAGCATGTCTCTTACTCTTATTCAACCAAAGGTTGACAATGGATATCCTTTTACAGCTTCAGCTTGTAGATGTTCATTGCGGAAATTGTTTGTTATTGTTTCTACTTTATATGCCAGACATTTGATTTGGGTTTTCTTAGGTGGAGAGAGAAAGGGGAATTACTGTAAAAGCGCAGACAGCTACCATGTTTTACAAGCACAATTTTCATGGTGCAGACAACAATGGTGACCATGAAGAACCAAGTTTTTTATTAAATCTGATTGACACACCTGGTCATGTGGATTTTAGCTATGAAGTATCAAGATCCCTAGCCGCCTGCCAGGGTGCCCTTTTAGTTGTTGATGCTGCCCAGGGCGTTCAAGCGCAAACTGTTGCAAACTTTTATCTTGCCTTCGAATCTAACCTGACAATAATACCAGTCATTAACAAAATTGACCAGCCAACTGCTGATCCTGATCGTGTTAAAGCTCAGCTAAAATCAATGTTTGATCTCGACGCCAGTGATGCTCTTTTAACATCTGCCAAAACAGGCCAGGGTCTTGAGCAAGTCCTTCCTGCAGTCATAGAGCGCATTCCACCTCCTCCCGGAAAGAGCAATTCACCTTTGCGCATGCTTTTATTGGATTCATACTACGATGAATATAAAGGAGTTATATGCCATGTTGCAGTTGTTGATGGCATGTTGCGCAAGGGGGATAAAGTTTTATCTGCAGCAACTGGCCAAGCTTATGAAATTTTGGATGTTGGAGTCATGCATCCTGAGCTTACTCCTACAGGAGTTCTCCATACTGGACAAGTTGGATATGTTGTTACTGGCATGCGTTCGACCAAAGAGGCACGCATTGGGGACACACTTTATCATAATCGAACCATCGTTGAGCCCCTTCCGGGTATGTGCATCACTTTTTTTCTTTTACTCTTTTTTTTATTTCGGGGCTTCTGCACCATTTAGGTAGTTTTGTTTCTTGAATCTCCTTTAACAGAAGAAATAGAAGTTCAAGAATGAATACCAAAACCTCCTTCACTTTTATTGGCACTGATAGTGTTCAACCTGTAGGGTTCAAGCCTGCAAAACATATGGTATTCTCTGGTCTTTACCCCGCTGATGGATGTGATTTTGAAGAACTCAGCCATGCAATTGAGAGACTGACCTGCAATGATGCCAGTGTATCCGTTGTCAAGGAGAGTAGCACAGCATTAGGTATGGGTTTTAGGTATGGTATTCACAACTAATAGCTTTTCTTTTTAACTGCTCAAATAAAGGATTTTGCATTCAATAAGCTTCATATGAAGTAGACATGTTATGCTTACTGTGTTCAACTACAGGTGTGGTTTCTTAGGATTACTCCACATGGATGTTTTTCACCAGCGGCTTGAACAGGTAACCAGATCGTAGTTTTATTTATGGATATGTTAAAGAAATTTGCTTAATGGAGGTATCACTTCTGTGCGAGAATGGCCCAATATAAGAGTTTTGTTTTTTTTTCCTTCATTCATAATAGAAATCTATAAGAGACTTTTCTTAATGCATCAGAATGAAAGATATACACTATTTTTCAGTGGAATGATTTTGTTAAGGAAAGAAATGTTATTAAGAACTTCATGATTTGCGTGTTTCACAATTTTCTTATGGTGATTGACAAAATAAGAATTCATGTCTCTTTTATGGATAATAGGAGCATGGAGCTCATGTTATTTCTACCATTCCAACTGTTCCTTATATTTTTGAGTATTCTGATGGAAGGTATGTATTTAATGATATCTTTGTAAGATTTTCTTCTCGTATGGTGTACCAAATATAATGCTGGTTCTCTTCCAGCAAAGTAGAAGTTCAAAATCCTGCCACATTGCCCTCGAACCCCAAGCAACGAGTAACAGCTTGTTGGGAACCTACAGTTCTAGCTACCATCATTATTCCTAGTGAGTAAGCTCTCACACACCCTTAGCATGTTTTACCCCCTCTCAACGTTGAGAGGCATTTATTCATCCAGACTCCAGAAGTAATTTGTTCTCCAATTGAAGGTATGTAGGGGCTGTCATCACCCTCTGTTCTGAGCGGAGAGGGCAGCAGTTGGAGTATTCATTCATTGACAGGTAATTCTTCAATGATCACCGAGCCATATTGGCCCTATTTTTTTGAAGGGTTCACCTATACTCATATTTCATGAAAGAGGATTACTGTTTTTCATATGATGGTGTCTTTGCTTAATATGAACTCATCTGTAATTGAGATGCTGATTCTTTGTAGTCTGATACATGCAGTCAACGAGCCTTTATGAAATATCAATTGCCTTTGAGGGAAATTGTTGTTGACTTTTACAATGAATTGAAGAGTCTTACGTCAGGATATGCATCATTTGATTATGAGGACGCAGAGTAAGTTTCAGCGCTCATCGTGTCTTTTAAGGCTCATTCTCACCTGCCTTCCTTTAATGTATGACTCATAGGAATAATAAACAAGAGGCGACTGCTTTTTTTATGTACTGATGGTTATTTGCAAATTCTTCAATGAATGTATAATGACAGATATCAACAATCTGATATGGTCAAACTTGATATCCTTTTGAATGGACAACCGGTTGATGCAATGGCAACAATTGTTCATAACTTGAAGGCGCAGCGTGTTGGTCGTGCACTGGTGGAGAAGCTGAAGAAACACATAGACAGGTCTGTTTATCTATACAAAATGGTAATTTCGGATTTTTTTGTTCTTTTTTAGCAGCTCAAAATGTAGATTCTGAGCAGGCAAATGTTTGAGATAACGATACAAGCTGCAATTGGCTCAAAGGTTATTGCAAGGGAGACGTAAGTACTAGTTAAATTTTTTTGTTTGTCATGTTATAGCTCTTGAAACATTTACCGTTCAGCTAAGATTCTATATGTTTGTGTTAGGATTTCTGCTATGAGAAAAAATGTTCTTGCCAAGTGTTATGGTGGTGATATCACTCGAAAGAAGAAGCTGTTAGAGAAGCAAAAAGAAGGAAAGAAGCGAATGAAGCGTGTCGGTTCTGTTGATATACCTCAGGAGGCATTTCATGAACTACTGAAGAGTTCATAGAAAAAAGTCCAGAACAGTAGCGTATGTTTGTAACCGCCTAATTGGTACTTACTCTTTCTCCTTTTATGTTCCTTTGCCATTAGCATGTTGTCAAATTTATTTATTTTGGCGTTTTATGTACATGACACCCAATAACTCTCTGTAGACTTATAGTTTATGTGGCTTATGTTAGCCACCCTTCAACAGCTCAGTGGCTAATCCACTCCTTGTTTTTGGGATTTCAGATGGAAGATTATTTTGGCTAACCCTCCACGGTGAGGAAATAACTGGGTAAGAGGAAGCTGTTGGGACAGAAAAAGAAAAAAAAAGGGACAGATGTGCATTGGCTTTCAAGGAGGCTGTCTCAAGATTTATCAAAAGTTAAATGTGGAGAAAATATCACATGTCTGATCGTCGATGATAATTATTTTCTCCTCATACATCACGCAGAATTGAATTGTGATACCTTAATGTTATAGATTATGATCAAATAACAATGTCTTTGTGGTTATTTGATGGGAATTGAAAGCTTATATGGAAAAGAACCCTCTTGGGATGGAATTTTTTGAATTTTGTAAGTTCAACTCTTATCCTATGATTCATGCATAAGATGCCTTTTATTCCATAGATAGTGAGCAGTTTGTGCGCTCTGCAATACCACATCTGCAGGAATATTTTATGTAAATTTGTGTTTTGCTACAGTCAAATCTCTTATTATATATCCAGTATCAGCTGGAAATGTGCTGTAATATTTATCGCCAACTAGTCTTTATCATAGTTTCAGAGCACTGTGCGCCTGTAAATAAACTTCTAAATTTTCATTACAATAACCGAGGATAATGTTCTTTTGTCTGGCATATTGTTTTGCTATACTATCAATCCGAACCATAGAATTAAACAAAAGTTTACTTGATCAATGGTTAAAGATTGATAGTTTGGTAACACAACACGAGTGACTGCCCTGCTGCAAAAGAGAATTTCCAGTGGTTGATATCATAATTTATAAGCTTGTATCCCTGATAGCAAAAGTAGATGTAATCAGGGAAATGACAGTGGATCACGTTTCACTTTTGAGAGTCTGAAGATGACAATCTGTTGAAAATGCTCGGTGTGCTGCATCCTTTCCCGTTCTGTATCAATGGATTATGAGAAGTAAACTGACGAGCAGCTTCACTCCACTTCAAGTGGTGTCCTAATCTTTCGCCTTCGCCTTGGTTTTGATGAGTAGCAGCACCACCTCCAACCATGGATGAAAGTGCTACGGCAATTACTGATTTGAAATTAGGGTCTGACGTGATTGCCTTGGTTAAAGATTCTGTTAAAGACACCTGAGAAGAAGATTGGTGATTCTTTTCTGCATAAGGTTGATCTAGATTGAAGGACCCTTTGTCAAACGGCAGTGAGCCATATTTAAGGTATCCATTGCCCTTACTGTTGGGCGAAATGTTGGACTCTGAGGAACAAAAGCTGAGGCTTGAAGGGAATGTGCAAGCTGAAGCAAAGCTAGAAGACAGCCTATTCAAATGGATTGGTGAAGAGGATGGAGAAGCAGTGAGGTCTAGAGTGATTGTGGGGAGCAAAGGGTTGGAAGATTTGGGCAAGTAGAGCTGGTTTGTTCTTGAACTATCAAAGACACCAAAATCTGATCCATTGAGTAGAGTGTCTGTGGAACAGAAACCCGGCAGAGATGTGGAGGAGCCAGACAATAGCATGGAAGCTGCCGCAGCGGTGGTGGAAGCCATGGAAGAGGCTGTGAATGGAAGCGGATGGTTGTGGGTTCCTTCGTAGGTGGTGATTAAGATAGACATATCCTCATAACATCTTTGCACCTGAAATCATGTACAAAAGGAGTAAACATATATTAATCAATCTTTCAATTTCAAAAACATAAGGATCTATATCTATCTTTTCAATCATATATTTTCATATTATTATGAAGATATATGATTATGTATATACATTTGGGGACCTACCTGCTTTCTCACAGGGCATGCTGGTGCAACTGTGCAGCGGTAATATGCTCGTGGGCATGGATTTCCTTTTGCAATCTTCTGTCCGTATTTTCTCCATTGGCATCCATCGTTCATCTGTATGAGGTAATCAAGTATATATTGATCCTAAGTTAAGTTAATATCTTTAAGAAACCAAAAACCCAACACACATGTACATAATGAAACAAAAACAAAAACAAAAGCATTGTGAGAAAATAGATTTATAACACGAAGAAATCATACCGTTGGGGTATCGCATCTAACTCTGACGGAAACCCTAGCTCTTTTTGCATTGGCCTGCTGTGGAACTTCATCATCTTCATTTCTCGTTGTCTTTGGTGTTTTACTTGATGGAGGCAAAGATTCTCCAGCTCCAGCTTCTGAATGATCCTTGGGCTCTTCCAAACTAGTCTCCTGAGGTTTTTGGCTACGCACAAGCTCCATAGGCAACTCCATTAATTTAGAGTTACCTAATCCAAGAGTAAGGTTGGCATTCAAGTCTTCATGATCAACTTGTACAAGTTTGAAGTTGGTGGTATTAGTTTCATCATTTTTGGGCTCCCTTGGACTTCTTCCGAGGCGAAGAGACAAGAGCTGATTGGGTTCTTCGATTCGATGAACACCAACATCAACATTTGTAGCTTTCTTGGAAGCCTCTTGTCTAAGGATGTCAAAAAAACGACATTGGAGAGACTGGTAATCCTTCTCCATATGCTGTAAGGTCAATTTTAGTCTGGCATTTTCTTCTCTCACCTCACCCATTTCAGCTCTGGCATTTTCAAGTTCACTCTCCTATATATCCATCATATAAAAAAAAACGAAATACTTAACAAGGACTCAGAGTCAAGATTAACAGATATGTATTAGAAATTTGAAGATATTAAAAACCTGTAAAGGAAATTAAAAATTAATTAAAATTATTAACAGTAGCTAGCAACAAGTGATCACTGATTATATCTGGTAATGGACAGTAAATTGAATGTGAAACTATACATGAACAAAAACTCCATAAAATATATAATTAAGAAAAGTACTCAAAATTTAAAAAAAAACTGCGATTCTATTCAGAAAACTAGTAGAATTTTCAAGACATATACATCGATCTCTTTCATAGAAACTCAGTGGGAGATATTCATATTCAGTAGTATATTGAACAGCAACCATATCTCTCATGAGACAACATGGAAATTAAATAGAAAAACATCATTAATTTGCAACAACAAAAGAGATTATCAAAGTAATTACTTATTTTAAGACATATACCTCTCTTACCTCCTGACTGTAAATCTCTTGATAGCCAACAGATTCATCAACTTTCTTCTCTGGGGCTGTTCTACTATTAGAGTTTGGCATTCTCAATTGCTTTATAATTAGCAGATGAGTTTGCGCTCTAATTACTTGAACATCTCCATTAACTTCTTGCAAAACAACTTAATTATAAATAATGGTTGGTGTGTATAGCAGATGACAGATTTGAATCCGGTTATCATCTATTGTCCATTACGCAGCTAGCTACACACAAATTGTCAACTCTGCAACCCAGTTTCTTTCATTTATTTATTACTTTTCTAGATTAAACTAATAAATAAAGTAGCAAGAGTTTAATAGTTTCAACATTTCCACAGTTGATGAACATATTAATGAGCTTCCAGATAGCTGAATTTGCGGGAACCGTGTGTATTATATGTAGCAGTACACTACGTCTTTGAAGCTTCGTACAAGGGAGACATCACATGGCTATAAGAGTCAACGTATACGTTTTAAGTATGTATAGGTATGACCTTCTAGTATTAACGGTGGAGAGACAGCCTCACTAAGACGGGAAATTTTTAGTTCACACCACCTCATGGTGTTATCAATTCACTCATGTTATAACACGTGTATTTATTTATTAATACTATAATCTAAATTTATCATATATATCATTCATTAATATTATAATACGTGAATTAATAACACCACGCGACAGTGTAACCGTTGCATCCCAAAATTTTCCCAATGCGACAATATAACCAATTCATTGTCGACAGTCAATACGCTTGTCATACACGGGAAGAGACTTCACTCGGCTTTCCATTGCATAATTGCATTGACCAGTTTGATTGTATATGGAAGAAAATTTGGATAATTATTATAGAATTTGTTCTGTATGAAAAGGCTCTATGTAAGATGCAGTTGTTATAGTTGGTCCATACAAATAGCATACCGTGCATGATCTTCTATCAGAATTTTCAACTTTCTTGCACATCCATTTGTAGATATATATATTCATTTTGATCAGAAAAAAAAACTTATAAATGTATATATATGATTATCTAGTCTTCGTCAAATATATTCATTTTGTATAAATTTTACGTTAAACTTAGTTTATATCATTGATCCAAAACAAAAGCATACTTACAAATCATGCACAACCCACAAAGTGATTAAAATCCCTTATTCAACAATCAAAAGCATACTTACTTAAACCTACAATACCAATCCGTGAGGCAACGTCAAAAATGCTTACTCCTTTTTACTCAATTTTTTTAAATTACTTATCTCGGGATCTGAGTACCAGGACTGGTAATAATTGGTTTGCATCTACGCAAACAAATCTCATCCATTAAAGATAAGACGTGTTATTATATATGCATGTGATTTTTGGGAAACTGTAATCCCAAAAAAAAATATTGATCTTTTGAAACTTTAAGATATGTCCGTTCAACTGTTTGTCTTATAAATTAAAAGGATCATGGTCAGCATGATATATAATTATGATTCTTAAATAAGGAAATAGTTAAACATATCTGAAACCAAATAGTCTTGGACACACATGACTTTGAAGCTTTGTATTTTAATTAATGTACAGTAACCATCCCAAGATCATAGTTTATAGAAAGGAAAAACATTAAATAAATCCTATTCCCACTAGCAGATCATGAATATTGAATCCTGCAAATATAATTCATAATTTATGCGAAGGCGAAAAATTTCTGTAGCTCAAATTGCATATGAGAGGATTCTGAGATGAGAACAAATCAAAGTGCATGATCGAAAATTTGACTAAATGAAATACAATATATAATGAATGATAACACTCTTAATATCACCGAGGTCTTTTATGATAAAACTTAACCGAGCTGCTTACCCGTCTCTCTGAAATTTAACACATACATATCCAAAATCGACTTTTACATATCTTTTCAAGGAGTGCTTAATTTTAATTCATTATCATTACCTTCCTCATCCAAAAAGTAAACAAACCCCCCTACAAAATAAAGGGCAATATGTCCTTATTTGTGACTCTTGCACCTCCTAAAATTAATCAAGAGTTATATATTTAGTACCTGGTGATGACTTAACCCATATATTTTTTAATGCAGATTTTGTGAAATTAATAAAGTTATTAGAGATACTATATAATTATTTAAAGGTGATGGCTTTTGAAATAAGAAATCGTCATAGCATAAAGGCATGATGTCGTGAACTTTGGTATAACGTAATTAAGGAGCCATTAACCTTTAAAAATGAATTAATAAGTAGTTTTGATGAGAAGGGAGATGATGATCAACAACATAATGAATGGACTGGAGGCGCCTTTTCAAGGTGTTTAGGTATGTCGTGGATTAATTAGTCTTCGAACAAGTTTATCATCATGAGTTTGTTTGTTGTTGTGGCTAGCTCCTAGATAGTTGAAAACTTTTAATGGGTGCGGTCAATGGTAATAATACATTTTTAACGGCAGCCAGCCCCTCGGCCATGAAAGAAGTAGTAGTAGAAATGGAAGCGTCAACAGGTCTCTTTATCTTAGTCTTGCACGTCGGTGAACATGAAAGTTTACTGGCACTTGCATTATGCATACAAGAATTGACTCTCTTATATTTCGGTGATGGTTACAGAATAATATTATAAACTGAAGAGAGAGAGAGAGAGAGAGAGAGAGAGAGAGAGATGGAATGAGAGATTGCGGTCCACACCACATGAATCAGTTTGCATTGCGTATTCAATACATTAGATTTTTTAGTCTAACTAGTCGCTGTAGGAAGAGACTTAAAGGCCAAGTGTGCTTATTATATTCAACTAGGTCAATGCTCTGAACTCACTAGCTATAGCTATTGATTTTTTTATTTTTTGAAAAAAAGTTTAGAGGTAGATTGGCTATTCTAACTACCAGCGTCAGGATAGACCAACAATCTCGAGCCGGAAGAACTTACACGTGGCACCCAACTACCAACTGCCACCGATATGGATTTATGTAGGAAATTACAAATCGCAAACCAACGAGGACTACTGGCAATGAGACTCGAACACTGATGGGACTATACACAGTGCAAAGACTTTACCAACTGAACCAACCTTCGTTGACTATAGCCATTGAATTTTGATCAATCAATTTCATGGCCTTTTTTGGTGCTGCTAAACAAACCCTAAAATTAACTGAGTACACCCTATGATCTAAGTACATCCAAATATTTAAATCAAAATGTAAAATTAACTAAATAAACCCTATTTAACTACCAAAAATACCCCTGATACATACACTCTAAAAAACACATCTCCAACATAAAGCACTCAAACACATCTCATACCCCTTTAACCACACAGTCTACACTTAAGCAAAAACCCAATATTAAAATGCAAAAGTAATACTCATATTTAGCCCAAACTAGGTTCACCTAATGCCTTGGAACCGCATGTAAATACGTTGAATTGTATTGAAGCATAAACCCGATTCCCAATAGAAAATGCATTTCGCAGAGCCATCCTCTTTGACAAATTATTGGCTTATGAAAGATCTTTGACAAACTATTGTCTTATAAAAGATCCACCCCCTCCTTGTAAGGTAATGTATCTCTGTTAATAGTGCTTTTCGTAGGACACATAAGAAATTTTACTATAAACCCAGGTGCTTCCTGGGTATTCATCTAGCAAGTCTTATCCAACTATTTTGTTTATTTCATCATCCAAATGCTGCAACAAACGGTTCTGTAATTTGAAACCATTATTGGCACTCTAATGGCACCCTTAACTCTCAAACATTAATTTCTTCCATGCAATGCTGATCAATAGGGAACTAATTCACTGGTCCAATAAAATTGACATCTTATTAGACAAGCATATATCATCACGACTAAAAGATCAACAGAGCCCATAGATCCCAAGTACTCCAGCCATAACCACCGACACTATCGATTTCATCACCAGCTCAGGCCGCATCACTCCCATCCCCTGGAGGCTGCATCACTCCCATGGAGGCCACACCCACCCCACTCTTCGTTGTGCCGTACACCGCACCCATGCTTGTGCAAAGCCATGTCTGCGACTGCGTGTGTCTGGTTGTGGGGATTGGTTGTGTGCAAGAATCTAGATAAAGCTCTATTAAAATTAGGGCGTACTTATTACAATTATATTTGTTTCACAATTCAATATTTTTTTTCATTTTATATTATGGTAAATTAGTAGTTCAATAAATAGTTAGGTAGTAGAGTGTACTCAATTAATTTTAAGGTTCGTTTAACCGCAGTCTATTTTATTAAGCAAGGAATTTATTAAAATAGTGATATAAGTAGGTAGATTGTTATTTCTGGGCTGTAGTAGTTCTGGTCTCAGCCCGTCAATATTTGTCTGGGCCTACGTTAAGATTTTGCACCTCAGAAAAGAAGAGAAATGTCACAGGTGGCAAATCTTCTTATGGACTCAAAGGCATGATAATTGGGTTGACAATATGTGAACCCTTCCTTTGGTTGGGCCATGGACACACACACGGGGAGTTTTCAAAGTGTTTTTCTCGTAAACTCGTGTTTTATCAGTCAGTTTTGCTTTGCCAAAACACAATAGCAATCTTGCTAAGCTTCTTCCTTCCCCTTGGCCTTGGTCCCAAATAGCTGAGTAAATGAAGGCTGGTGCTGGTGGTGAAAACTTTTAGGCAATACGAGGTCGTATTGAGCACATCGTCCGTCCAATCCTCTCAGTCTCAGGTGTCATTGCGGACGCTAGCTAGTTACAGAAATGTATGTAGTGTAGAAGGCCATGCATGCCTAATCTTGGGCAGACCCACCACAGAATCCATGAGCAGAACAAAGTATTGTCGTTCAAAAACAAAACAAACAAGTCTACATGCATATATATATATATATATATATATATATAATGGAAGCATAAAAGGAAATTAGAAAGGAAAATCCATGACAAAGAGGGAGAGGTGAGGACATGCATCATACATGTTACGTATATATTATAAATGCAAGTAGGGTTTTGATTGTGATGGCTTAGCATTATTGTTAGGTTATATGAAGGAGTTTACTCTACTTTTTAAATATGTTTAGTCGGTTATTCTGTTCAAACAAGGTTGCATACACATAAAGATATACGTACGTGCGAGGGTTAGAGTCCTTCCTTCCTTATGTTATATTTCTACGATGCATTATGCATAGGATAGGATATATATATATATATATCAATGCGTGACAGCTTCCTTCCTATGCGAAAACAATTCAATGGAAACTTCTTCTTGTTTCTTTCTCCGACGAAGGCAAAGGCAAGGCACCCGCGCGCTTCTTTCCTTCAACTTCAACTTGTCTCTGTCTCAGAAGTCGCAGACTTCTCCCCCACACACCCATGTGCTATACCTATGTATGTGTGTGTGTGTGTATATATATTATTCCAAACTCAATTCCAAAGATCAAAATACGACAAAGCAGCCAAACAGGCATCATGAGATCACCATCTCTTCTTTCGACATATGCAAAATGCATGCATTGCCCCCACAAAACAACAACTACTACTACTTCTTTTCAGGTTTAACGATCCAGACCTACGTCACGTCGTTGATAGCAAACTACACTGTACACCCCTCTCTCTCTCTCCTCTCTCTCTCTCTCTCTCTCTCGTCGTTTATTATAATAAGCTAATAATAACTAGGCCGCAGAACACGCACTCATTTTCCTCTCACCATAAAATAAAACATGGGGTATCCCACCAAGACCAAACTTTCTCTTTTCTATTCTATTTTTATTTAAAAAACATTTAAAGATTGAGAAATGATATCATCAGAAACTAGATAGATGCGGCGGAAGGGGGTTAAAGCCAAGGCAAGTATGAAACGGAGGGTGCAACCAAAACGACAATTAGTTGTCTCATCAGTGCACTTTCATCCTCATTTCCAGTGCACTTAGAACATTTCTATTCGTTGTTGCTTTTTCTTTTTTGGTTATGTACATCAACTGTTGAAAAAAAAACACCACCAAGTGCCTCACGTCCCACGAACAAGAAGACAAAAAAGAAAAACGACATACAGAGCAAAAAGAAAACAGAACAAAAGTACTGCTGCTGCCCTCAATTAAGCAGCCACTGACAACATCGACGGAAGCAACGGAATGGTGACGCAGATGGATGAAATGGCACGGCGATGGAGATGGCATGGCGATGTAGACAAGTGAAAATGGAATGGTGAGATCAGATCAATTCTCCACTATTTTGGGGCCCCTGTACTTGGCTCCATCTACAGCTAAGTCCTCCGGTTTCTCTATCTCTTGTAGCCAAGCATAACCTTCCTTCTCTTCTTCAGCCACTGATACTCCATCAACTGAAATTCCAAAACAGAAAACCACACAATCAAGATCCTCAAACTTACAAAAAGATCGATCGGCTCTCATTCCCAGTTGGAAAGAAAAATCTAAGTGAAGTTGGTACCTGAGAAATGAGAAAATGGGAAATCAAGGTAGTATTGGCAGTGTCGACCATCGGGATCAGAATATGGGGGACCGAGCACATCAAGCACCGCGCATGCTGTCACTGCTGTGAAGCAGTGCATGTTCCCTCCATCAGCTGGATATAGGATGGAAGTGTTGCAAGGAGCAGTAAAATCGGCATCAACCTTAACTTTGGCCAAACGAACACCAGGAGGGGTAGCTGCATAAATGAAAGCACTTCAAACTGTTAACTTATTGTGGCAATACAGAGGGGAAGCTTTCTAAAGAAGGATAATAACAGTACCGTAAAAATACCACTCAAATGAAAACTGACTAGGAAGATCTTCCCAAGTGACCGAATATGATTCCTAGCACAGCATTCTTAAAATTGCTATTAAAACTGATGGTCCTCATCACTTGGTTTTACAGGAAAATTTGATGCATTCAAAAGTCATAATCATGAGCTAATAATCTTAATCTAGAGATCCCATAAGCAATTACACTTTACCCAACAGATAATAGGTCCAAAAGATAGGTAGGTTGACTTTTTCGTGAAGGCAAATCAGCATTGCGTTAATGTAAAAGTTTTATATAGAATTAGCCACTTTTATTTCTCATTTTGAGAAGTTATTATCAAGGAAATTTAAATTTTCAGACAGTTCAAAAATAATAATCATCGCATAAGACTTTCTCAAGGAAGATGCTAATCTTGTCCATAAAATGTACCTGCTGCTTTGATTTACATTGCGCAAGAAAGGTCGCATCGCATTATGTCTTTAGTCTTTGTTTAAGGCTCATTTTTGCAGCTAATACCAATCAACACCAAACAGAAACGCATAATCTAAGCACAATGCTTTAATGACTGCTGGTATGCATATCTATAATTCAGTCTGTAATTTCTATCCACAAGGTAAAATAGTACAGCCTTTAAAGAAAGAAATTACCTGGTGAAGGATTCGCACTTGTGGATTTGTCCTCTGGTGCATCAGCCACCCAATCATATGACTTGATATGCATGGTCCCAAAGAGAATTTTACTAAAAACCGTCATTCCAGGGTGATTATGAAGGGGAAGGACACCTGAAGGTGGCAAGCAAAATATCCCCATCTGCATATAGGTAATGCAATATAAGAACAAAATCAATGGTGGACTGAATTTGCATCATACATTGTATTAAGTACCTCAAAGAAGCTTACTTACTGAAAATTTTTCACACTCGTGCAGGTGCAGGTATGTTATTGCTGGGGTTCGTCTAGCTACTGTCATCCGGAAGTACGGCAATTCAGGAGTGAGGCCGACATCAGCAGGTTTCATGGTATCTGTATCAAAACAAGCCAAGCCTATAAGCCACATTGGATAGACAGTACATTCTTTTTGGGAACAAATTCAAAGAAAATAAAAAAATTAGGATCGCGATCCTTTCAAAAACCTAAATTGATCAGGTTAAATGCAAATAACACTCGAGTACAAGTATTTAAGAAAAACAGAGTCCAGCTGTAAAGATATGAAACAACATGTACTGGTACTGCCACAAAACATTTTTTTATACAGCAAAGTTAGGCCCCAACCCCGAGGATGAATATATACATGCACACATTAGTGCATGTATGCAGCCGCAAAACTGAAATGCATGTACCAATATGCAACGACAGATAATATGATTAAAAAAATCAAAGCCACTTGCAGATAACAGACAGACAGCCTTCAAGATAATTCAAATTCCACACGCAAGATTGGTACGAACATGTGAAATAGTGACAACCCACGCCGTCATTACCATCAAAATTGAGACGCACATATCACAGATGACACTATTAGACACGAAAATTTGGTACCTTTGACAGAGCAAATACAGCTTAATGCAATCTAAAAGCAACAGAACAACAACGGTTAAATAAAAATGTTCAGCGATTCTCAAACGGTGAAATTATCACATAAAACCAACATTGAGCCTCAAGTCAATGCAATCATCAAAATTCTGAGACACATCCCACATGAATAACACATTGATCAGACTAGATTTGAAATCAGCCAATGATGCAAAAGCAGACATAAGCATACCCAAAACAGAGCGTAGCCGTTGGATATCTTCAGGGGAGGGAACAATCCCGGCACCACAAAAGGAAAAGACATCCTTGCACGTCTGGTATAGCCTCTGAACCGGCGACATCTTCCGATGACGTCGCCGGCACTTCCTGGGTTTGCTATGCGAATTCGTCTCCACCGGCAAACCGTAAATCTCCTTATTACCTTTGCGATTGGGCGTCGTCGTCTCAATCCCCATTCACACTCAAAATTCCAGCTTCAATCAAAACCCCGAAAGATATAAAATTTTCGATCTGGGTATTTTGAAAAACTCAAGAAAATGCAAAATTTCGATCTGGGTGCATACCCAATTGAGGAAGAACTAAGAAACAGCCTGAAAACGAGAAAAACAGAGCAGAGGAAACAGAGGAGGAGAGAGAGTGGAGAGTGATAACAAAAGGTACGGCTTTGAGAACGGTTAGTGTGTACTGGATGAGTGGTAAAAGGAGGACAGAGATGTGAAATTTGGCAGCTCTGTTGAAGAAGGAGAAGGTGGGCGAGGATGGAATGGGTATAAAAGGGGACAAATGGTCCTAGGGTTAGCTGAAAGAGAAAGACAGTTGGTTTTGGTATGAGGGAGTGAAAACCAGGGGCCATGTTTGGCTTTCCAGTGGGCTGTTCCAACAGCGGATTTTTATCCACTCCCTCCTTCTCTTTGGCCTTCCTATGTTTGCCCCTCCTTTTTCTTGTTTTCACAGTCCACTCTATTTATGGAAATTTATATTCTTATATATTAGGTTTTTCTTTTTCTTTTCTCTGTTTTCATTTTTCATTTTCTAATTTTCTCTTCGTTTGTTTTTTCTACTATCTATATCAAAATATTGAGGGGATCCCCGGTTTGCACCCAAATCTTTCAATTTTAGAGGCAAAACCACCTTCTGATATGGAGAATCCAAATCCGTTCTTGTATTTTTATACACCTTTCTGAGGAAGTAGACTTTGCATATACGTCCAACAGAAGACTGTTGCGTCTGATTCTAATAATAATTACGTGAAGTCAACGACACAGTAACGTATTTATTAACTTTTTGTAGTCTAACACAATGTGTCATACGTGCTTACTTATCTGAATTTTTCAATTAAAATATTTATACAAATTTTTCATACAATTTTAATATATGTCAAATGCTTGTACAAATTTATGAAAATTGCATGAATACAACTTATATTCATTTTGATTTCTTGTAGGATGATTCCCCAATTATAAACTATTATATAATATATGTGAGTACTTACCAACCCTTACCTTTTCATGAATATGATAGTTTGATAGTATGTTTATGATCTAAATTCGATAATTCATCAAGTTTGTTTGGGAGTGATTTTAGATAAACCATAATCATTTTAGAGGAGAAGTAACTTCCATGTGCTTCTTCATATAATTACTTTTTGTGATTTTAAGTAATTAATCAACTTCCAAACGAGCCCTCACTTAACAAATGATATATGAATTACAGTTGATATCATCTGCTAATAATCCAATAGGATTTAATACAATATATAAAATTTGAATCTCTTATAAGTTTAAAACATTTAAACCCTTTTAGTTAATTAAAAGGTTTGCTCACAAGGAACTACATTTCAAATTAAATAGTCAATTTTCAATTTTTATACAATCGAGATTGGGAAGAGGAATTTAAATCTATAACTTAAGGTGGTCAATGCTATTAATTAACCACTTAAACTACAAGTTTCTTGCTAATTTTCATTTATTTAGATAACCATGAAAGACGCTATTTGTAAAGTTAAAATTTTCAATTGTTCTTTTTTTTTGGCAATACATATTAAACAAATCAGATCGGGTTATCCTATGAGATATTTGTTAACTTAACAAATAGGACATGAATTTGTTTATTATTAATATGTCGGAATCGAATCGGATCAAATATACCGTATTTCATTTTGTCCTATGTATACAAATTTGTATATACTTTGAAATTTATAAATAATTTACTATTCCTACGTTTATTAAATTCGTAAGGCAACTCAAGCATTCTTTCTTACTGTCCAAAATTATTATAAAAAAAACACACCCACAAAATTATTTCCTGCTTAGTTGTCTCCTTTTCTTATTTCGGAAGGGTATTATACTTCACCCGTCACAATAAAAGTATAGAATTATGTAGTTTATCAAGAAGAAAAAAAGAACAAATATATTGTATGCATTGGTAATTGACATTGAATACGATGTAAAATAGTAAAAAAATATTTCCCTTTCGCATTATTATTTATTTATTATAACAAGATTGAAAAGGAAACTTAAAATACACAAAACCCTTGTCTTTAAAAATAATAATAATAATAATACACAGAGCACTCATTCTCTTTACCCCAGGGGGGAAAACAATAACCCAACGATCTTTGCTTTATTTAGTAATAATTATTAACTTTATTTTCATTTTTGGATATATAACAAACAAGGTACTAAGATTTGTAAAATGGTAAAGAGTTGGTGGGTTTGAATGGAATTGACTGCAAGAAAAGAAGATAAGCTCTGCAAATCTGCAGTGTTTTTAGTACGTTTTCAAAGCCACACCTTTCTCACGACCCCGCAGAAAGAAATATGAGTGGCGAAAAAAGCAAAGAAAAACCAGATGACAGATCAATCCCCAAGTTCTAACCTCGTGAACTTGTAAGGTCAAGGAGGTAGCATGTTAGTCTTTGTTAGTCTTTTGGAATTATGGCTCTGCCTCTCTGACTCTCTGACTCTCTGAGTTGTTGTTTCTGAAAAAGCTTCTGCTCATCCCCAGCTCATCAGAATTAAGTATGGAAAACGTTTTCTCGACCCCAAGAAAAAACAATAGTAGGGAAAAGCTTTTGATAATGTATTTAAATATTTATATAATATTATTAGCTATCTACATATATAAGATGCCAAACGAGAGAGTGCACACGTACGTGGTTTTATCAAAGAAAATCAAAGGCAGTTTTAGCTTTTGTAACTCTAGAGAAAAATTGGCGCACACACATAAATATATACAAGAAATTCTTAATTTGGACAAACAAAACTTACCTTGTGTTTGTATTGTTCTGCGTTGTATGTTTGCAATTTATTTATTTTTTTGGATGTGGAAAAGAGAGTTACAAGACAAAGCGTCTAGAGCACGCAAATTTAAAGAGGTCAAAATAGAAATGAGAAACAACAGATAAAGGGAAATGATGATCCCAAATACAATGCATCTGCGTTGCATGTATGTTACTGTGTCGATCATTGCTAGTTTTTTTCTTTCTTTCTAGATGCTTGGATTTTGGATCAATCAATATGGACGTTATATATCATGGTTATCAAATTTCAAATTCAAAGTAAGCTACTATTTTCCTGAAATTTGACAAAAGGAATGGAATATGTTTCCTCAAATTAACGATGATATATATATATATCTTCACTACATCTTTAAGTAGTGAAAAAATTCTAAACCTAATGAATGGGGTTATTGACTATTTCAGGATTTGGTCGTGAAAGCAAAAGCTTGACTGAGATCGATTCACACTCAAGTGATCGATTCAGGACCCGACTTGAGAGTGTTACGTGCTACACGTGCCTTTTCAGTTTGGTCTCTTTGATTAACATCCATAACTCTCACTCACTCACTTATGTTGGAACGAAGACATGGTGTAGTCAAGTCAACATGATTAACAATGATGTTGAAAAACGTTTGCGCATTTGTGTATGTATGCATCATGCATGCGTAACACTTTACATATGACACAAAAACATAATTATTGACAAGCGGAATGTGTCAAGCCCAGCCAGTCGTGTCTCACGGTTATTCATCAAATGCTATAGCGCGTTACTTATTAAAATTAAATTAAGTTTGAAGTATGACGCATCATTAACTTGATCAACAAAAATTAGAGAAAAAGAAAAGAAAAGAGTCTTGTGTGAATTTGAAACCTGTATAAATCCTTGGCTGATCAGCCGCCTAGCTGAGCATGGTAACATGTTGGACCTTGGAAGAATCGAGACCGACCGACCGTTAAAACAAATGTATAAGTATCGTGTACGTAGTTGGGCGGCTATCATCATCGTATGGTGTAAGCAATGACCGCAGAATATAATAGGTATTGGATGATGATGGTTTTTATATAGATTTTGGTTCTGAATATTCTGCCCAACTGATGATAAGATATAGAGAGATATATCCTTTTATGGCCGGCCACCCCTCCCAAAGACTCTAAATACTGGCGCGCATGGGTCACGTGGCCAATGAAATCTTGCTTAGCGCTTCCACATGGAAAACCTCCTAGGGCACGTGGGATATAATATAAGTTGGTTTAGTTTTACGTGGCAAACAACGGCAGGAAGGAACACACAAGAAAAATAAAATAAAAATTATGGGGGGAAAAGAAGAAAAAAGAAAGGTTTATATATCACACCCACCCACTACGCACTTGGCTTGGCCTTTTCAAAATCATATCGGATTAGATGTTTTGTAGTTGTTTTAAGATGACAGGCATAGCTTGAGCTTCTTTAAAATATTTGGTTTCCCATAACCTAGAGATTCGAATTCGATTAGTCCGACGATACGTTTTGATATTATAATCACGCCATGCTTATTATTAAAATTTTGGGAAAAAAATTCGTTGTTGGTCCTTATGGTTTATTGGATTTTTCATTCTGATTCATGTGATTTCAATTTTGGTACTTTCACCTCAATAGTTTAGTGCTCTCGCAATTTAAGGACACGTTTAAATATTTCGTTCAATTCCGTGACAGAGTAAACAGGTGCCCCTAACATATTTAAAACGTAATTGGAAGAAAATCGATATAATTTGAAACATGTCATTGAATTAAGAGAAATTTAAAATCACGTAGATAAATTTAACATATTTGAAATTAGGAGGAGTGATGAAAAAAAGGGGAAAATTAGAGACCAATAATGACATAGCAAAGTTAAAGACCAATAATGACATTTAAGTTTAAGGTCTATGATCCCACATGTTGAACTTGATTAAATTTATGAAAAATATATGATTCAGATTTCATATATATAAAAGCAACAAGAATCACATTCTATACCAATAGAAGTCTTCTTTCATTTCTCAATGATGAAGTAAGACTAAACTCATGAACTTATTATTCTAGGTCGAAACAAGTTGATAGAATCTTCTTTTTTACGTCCCTATGTCCCTATTGTATGACGATGTGGGGACGTAAAAAAGAAAAGATATGCACTATCCATTAGACGATTAACACTTTTCATTCCAATTTAAATATTTCTTGTTCCAAAAAGTAGTTGCGAAAGATTCCAAAAATTGCCTATACAAGTCAATGATGCATTATATTAATTAAAATAAAATAAAAGGGTCTGTTTGTAACTAATCTATACTCTTATTTTTTTTTTTTTTTTTTTTTTTTTTTTTTTTTTTTTTGGGTGGGGGACAAATCTCTTGGTCAACGGACTAATTTTATTTATTTAATTTTTTTGTACATGGGTCCAAATGATTGGGCCTTACGATGGGCCCACCAATGGCCTTGAGGCCTGATAGAGTTAAAGTTTCGGCGACAAAAAAGCCCAGCCCAATATATCACCCGCCACGGGCGACCCGCCACCACGCAGAAGGGTTTTGGGCATTATACAAAATGAAAAGGGCATTTGTGTACTTTCATACCGTCTACTAATGAACCAGATTTGTTCTCTCTGAATCTGAATTGCTATCACATTCGAGCTCTCATCACAGGTCATCGTCTCTCCCCTGATTTTACCCTCTTTAAACCTGCGATTAGGCTCCGTCTGCTTCGTTAGGGTTTTCATTTTTCTTTCGTTGTTTTTTTTTTTCCTGCAGAAGGGGGCCTCTGGTTTTTGATCATCCCCTTTCTCTTCTGCAACATCTTCAATTTTCAGATCGGGCAGTGGCAGATCGCGTAAATTTGAATTTGACAAAATGTACGGCTTCGAGGCGATGACGTTCAACATTCACGGCGGGTACTTGGAGGCCATAGTACGGGGACACCGTGCGGGCCTTCTCACTGCCGCCGATTACAACAATTTGTGCCAGTGCGAGACCCTCGACGATATTAAGATGCACCTTTCTGCCACCGAGTATGGGCCCTACCTCCAAAATGGTGCGTTCAACATCTATCTTTCTCTAGTGTCTTCGATTTTGTGAGCCCTCTGTTTGTTTCCTGAGGAAATTGAACAGAATTGGAAACTGAATTTTGGATCGTATGCTTAGATTTAGGCGTTTGTTCTGGACTAATAGTCTAGCGTATCGATCTGAGATGTAGGTTATATTAGGGCTTGGATTCGGTGTTGGTTCAATTGAATTAGAATTAGTAAGAGCAGCACTATGATCCGACCTTACTGTTTCACGAATGCTATGGTTTTAAATACGCGAACTTATTAATATATTAGGGTGCATTTGGATATGCTGAATACAAAGGGGGATTTGGGTTTGGCTGCTTAGTTTATATTGTTTTCATCAAATGTTAAGTAAAGATAAAAGAGTTTGATACTTTTTGTTAATGGATTGAAATAAAACTTTTTGTCTAAGTGATTAAAGAGTGAATTTGATCTGCACTCTGTATAACTTAAATTGTTTTTCTGAAGAAGAGTATCACAATTAAGGTGTTCCAAAAATACGTGCATCATTTGGACTGTGAAACTGAAGGAACAAAAGTAGGCTCAACTTAATGGAAGACAAAAGGATCAATCTTTTTCCTCCTTATGCATACAACTACATTTGACAACTCTCTCTCTCTCTCTCTGAAGTCAATATTCATGCTCTGCTTATTTGACAACTTTCTCGCAGAACCTTCCCCATTGCATACAACTACAATTGTGGAAAAGTGCACCCTTAAATTGGTTGATGAGTATAAGCACATGCTATGCCAAGCCACAGAGCCCTTGTCAACCTTTTTGGAGTACATTACGTATGTAGCTTGCTGTCTGATTTTTGTTATTTTTTAAAATGTAGTTTATTTTGTATTTTATTCTAATATGAGAAAAGGTGTTGGGACCGTAAACTTGATTTGGGCCTTTGCCGGGGTAGTACTGAGCATATAACACTGGGCCACTTTCTGGCCTTTATTCAAGGCTGGAGGATCTCTATGAAGTGTGAAATTACCATCTGTTGTGAACTTTATAAATAATTCATAACTAACATTGAGTTGTGATTGGGAATTTAATGTTTCTTATGCTCCATCTAGATATGGCCACATGATAGACAATGTTGTCCTGATTGTTACTGGAACCTTGCATGAGAGAGATGTTCAGGAACTCTTGGAAAAATGCCACCCTTTGGGCATGTTTGACAGGTATTGCATCCTCATAGATTTTTGTATTTCATTTTCTTTTATTTTCCCTTGTATCTACGTGTTTTCTATGGCTTTTTTACATTCTATTAAACGCCCAACTGAATTTCATTTTTGTCTCCTCAGCATTGCCACCCTGGCAGTCGCACAGAATATGCGGGAGCTTTACAGACTGGTGCTTGTTGACACACCACTTGCTCCTTACTTTTCTGAATGTATTACATCTGAGGTACAATTAGTGATCCCGTACCTTTATTTTCCAAGTTTTTCTGTTTCTGTTTCGGTAGGCATCCTTAATAACATGTGTAATTGCATCGATGGATGAGATTTTTAATGTCATCATCAAAACAATAATGGAGCCTCATTAGGGTGGGGATTGGGGCTACTATTGAATTTGATAGTTGTAGAAGGTTTCTGATTTTTAGTGTGTTCTGATTTTGTATTGCTCATTCTTTTTTACAGGACCTGGATGATATGAATATTGAAATAATGAGGAATACTCTTTACAAGGCATACCTTGAAGATTTCTACAGGTTTTGTCAGGTAAATTTTGATTTCTAAATCAAGAGTTTCATTCAAATTTTGTATCTTCTCATTAGTTTGGTTTTTATCTTTTGGACAGAAACTAGGTGGCGCCACAGCAGAGATCATGTCTGACTTACTTGCTTTTGAGGCTGACAGAAGGGCGGTCAATATTACCATAAATAGGTATGCTAATATTGAGGTGCTGACAAGTTTTATTGAGATCATAGCTTATGTGGTTTCAGCAATTTTTTCATGGCCTCATGCTATTTTTCCTATGCTGCAGTATTGGAACTGAGCTTACTCGTGATGATCGCAGGAAGTTGTATTCTAGCTTTGGTTTGCTGTAAGCTCTTTGGTCATCCTGATTTGTTGGTGGCTTTTATATTTTTAGGTTCTATTCTGGATTGCTATCTCTGATAACTATTTGCTTGTTTCTTACAGTTATCCCTATGGCCATGAAGAACTCGCTGTCTCTGAGGACGTTGATCAGGTATGCTGTGTGTTTCAAGTGGTTTTATTTCTTGCCTAAATGGTGCTCCGGCTCTTGCTCCGTCTTTTCTTAAAGACCTTCTGCTATTTGGGGCAACAATAATGTGTTTCCTTCTGCATCATTATGTTTGAAGAAAAAGAATGAAAGTTAAAATTTATGACGTTGTTTGTGTTCTCTGCATGATATCACCAGTCTGAATATATTTCTGCCATACTTAACTTCCTTCTCATCATATCTGGTCTCGATTCTGTCAACTACCAACATCAGTTGATTATGCAATCTCGTTACTCATATTCTTAACATTTTCAAGTTGTAGTAGTGGTTTTCTCTTAGCCATCTACTTGTTTGTTGTTGTAGGTCCGTGGTGTCATGGAAAAATATCCTCCATATCAGGCTATCTTTTCAAAACTATCCTATGGTGAGAGCCAGATGCTTGACAAGGCATTTTATGAAGAGGAGGTGAAAAGGCTTTGCTTAGCATTTGAGCAACAGGTTGGTACTGCAGTTACTGTGAATCCATGTCTGTTTCATTTTCTAGGCTACACTTATCCTCAGTTCTCCATTCAGTCACTTGACATCTTTGCCTTCTGACCTGCAGTTCCATTACGGTGTTTTCTTTGCATACATGAGGTTGAGGGAGCAGGAGATCAGAAATCTTATGTGGATATCTGAGTGTGTGGCTCAGAACCAGAAGTCCAGAGTTCATGACAGTGTGGTCTTCATATTTTAGTTGGATTGGGACTCGAGACAGATCATTAGAGATAATTATTTGTTCTTTTGCATAATCTTCTGTAAATCTCCTCCCCGTCTTATCCTGGAACGAATTGTAGAGATGGGGGTGCAGTTGCGTTGTTTGCAATATCTGGTGTTCCTAATAAGCACTTTTGCATATATTCCAATTGTTCTGTTTAGAGGGAAAATGTCTTAAATTCCGAGATCGAACATGTGTCAGTTGTGAGGATAAACTGAATTTATGTGTTGTAATTTGAGATATAATATAGTAGCACTTATTCAAACTCATTACTATTTAGCATCTTGCATTTGGACACCATTCTAACTTCCTGAAGGCTGTGGACTGAACAGTTTGAAGCTATAATCGTTAACTGTAGATGCTTTCTTCCAAGTGGAAAAACAAAAGTACAATTAACAATAAAAATGTGTCGGGTTCGTCCAGTTGGTCAAGGTAGCGTGCCCCTTCCCTTACCTTTCAAATCTCCATCTCGTAAATTTGATTAATTTAGTATAATTTAGATTATCGCTTGTATAAAAAAACAATAAAAATGTGTCATGACACCTTCGTGATTTAATCAAATTCTATATCGACCAAACGTATATTGGTATGGTAAAAAACGGCATGACGTTTCTCTGATGGAAAACACACCTTCTTCGCCCGGACAAAACAGTAAAAAACCGCGACTTCTTTTATTCTGTACTCTTCGCTCCCAATTGTTAGGGTTTTTTTTAATATTTTTAAATATTCATCTTCGATGGAAGCGCCATCATCGTTATCTTCGCCGATGAGTGAGAACCAGAGGCCGTCGTTACCGGCAACAAGCATCACTGATGTGAACGTCGACTCGCTGGCTCAATGTGCCGGCTACCTCAGCCTCCGAGACATCTCCAACATGTCCATGACCTGCACGTACCTCAAAAAGGTTGCATATTCCGACTCCATCTGGCAACGTTGGTTCAGGTCCAATTATACTCTTTTTCAGATACTATTTCCTTACGCTCTCTCTACTTCCTGTATTTTTCTGTTTACAGAAAACTCTTTCAAATTCATTTGTTGCAGGGAAAGCTGGCCCCGGCAAACACCTCCCGCCGCCTCGCAAACGGCAGGAGTGAGGGAAGCTTATTTGTGTAGGCGCAAGGATTTGCTGCAATTCAAGTTTAACAATCCCCTCGTCGCCGATTTCTATACCAATTCAAGTCCTTTCGACCATGTGTTATTGGACAATAACAATATAATCTTCTCTCAGGTAATATCATGTGTAACCCTTTCTTTTCCATGAATCTCTGAGTTTGAATAGTTGGGCATCTTTAACTTTGCTTTATGTTACTTACTTAGGGCTCAATGATACAAGTGATAACGATTGATAGCTGGTTAAGTGGAGCGAACTCACCTGTCACTTTAAGTGATCACAACGCAAGAATTACTTGCATGAGGTGGGCTGTGTGTGGTTTTTTAATCCTAAAATCTTGGAATGTTTATTATCTTTTAATCGTAAAATCTTGACATGAACTGCAGGCTGTTTCCACTGAATGAAACATCTTTATATCGAAGGGAAGCACAAAACGAGGAGAATGTTTTGGTAACTTCAAGCTCTGACCATTCCATTCGGCTATGGTGGAAGGTATTACATTAGTTAAGAATATTTTTATACGCTGTTATTTGTCAGTTTTTTCATACCTTTGGTTTCTTCATTATTAATTCAATCTTATAAGTTCGGATGGGTTAGGCTCTTAATGTTTTGCTCTAACCCAATTTATCAAGTATCTGTTCTTGTAATATATCGTTCCCTATGTGATTTAGTCACTATTATTGTACTGTAATACCGTTGTCAGTAGTTTACATTTTCTGTCCTCTAAAGGTCCTAATCATATTATTTTGTCACAGGGTTCTTGCCGACGATGTTTTAGAGGTCACAGTGGCCCAGTTTCAGCCCTGTCAGATAAATTGTTAGGCAATGGAGCAGGAAAAGTATTGGCAAGTGGAGGGGAAGATGGCACAGTTCGCCTTTGGTCTCTAAGTTCCAGTGGGAAACGTGGCCAGCATGCTTTAAAGGCTACTTTCTATGGGCATGAGAAGCCCATCCGGTTGATGTCAGTTGCTGGGTATGAGGTTGTTCCTTGAGGGGTTATGTGTTTCTATTTAGTAAAACTAAATAAACGTTGTGCCATCAATGTCTATTTAACGTCTAAAAAGATGATAAGCTAATGTAACTTAGAAGATAATTTCCAGATATCTACTGCATCTCATATGTAATCATTTACAAACGTTTCTGTGCTTTGGGTGACACTTCTTCAATTATACTGATCTATTTATTTTGGTCTTATTGATAGGCACAACACCTCTCTCTTGGTATCCGTTTCAAGAGATTCTAAGGTATCCTCAATTATCCATTCAATGCTGTTCTTATCGGACCTGGTCATCCTCATGAATTTTTGTTATTTGTCATTGTCTGATGATTGCGGTTTCTAACAGGTGAGGGTGTGGGATACAAATACATCATCTTCTGTTCGTTTTTCATGCTGTGTGGGGATGACCTCTGTTCTTGGTGCCCCTATAGACATTAAGTGTCATGAACAATTGGTCTATGTTGCTGCTGGTTCCTCTGTTATGGCAATTGATTTGAGGACAATGCAAAAAGTTGTCATTGCTACAGTAGATGCAAGGCTGTACTCTTTTCAGGCAACGCCTTCAAAATCTTTATTCTGCGTAGGCACCAATGGCAGGTACGGCAAGTAGAATTCCCTGGTTTCACTTGTTTTTATCCAAGTTGTAGAACTAGGTTTATTGAGAAAAAGATATGCCTGAATGGTGCAGGGCAATGCTTTACGATATAAGGAAGAACCAGGGCACCCTGAAATCAGAACCAATAGCAGAGTTAGATGGTGGACACACAGCGCCGTTGACATACTTGCACATGGATCCATACAAAATAGTTACAGGAAGCCCGGAGGATTTTTATGTTAATGTTTGGGAGGCCAACACTGGTGCAAAAACTAATTCCTTGGATTGTTCTCTTCCAGATGAAACATCTACCAGTTTTGGGTGTCGTGCTCTGGCTGTAAATGGGTGTCGAATTGTTACTGGCATTGCCAACTATGATGAAGATGTGGGATGCTTACGCCTCAGGGACTTCACAAATGCTTCTTGTCCTGTCTTTAATCGTGAAGATGATCATGTTGCAAAGTTTTGGAACCCACAATATTACAGTGATTCCGATAGTTCATGACTGAATAAATGTTGCTATATATATATATATGTTGTGTACAAATATTGATCATATTACAAGTTTGGAGTTGGTTTCTAGCTATTGTTATTTGAGAGAATCTCTTCAACCGTCTATGGGGCGGCCACCACCACCATAGCTGTTATCCTTCTCCTGATCCTAATTACTGCAATAACCACCACCAACTCAGCACCAATCCTTGGCCTTGACGGCTTCCTGACCCACCAATCCATGGTCGTTAAAAATGTTGTTTTAGACTGACTTCCATGGTCAATAAAAATGTTGTCCTTTCATAACTAACCGGAAAAAGTTGAACTTGCAGCTGTTATTGTCCTACAAACAAAGTATGGACCTTGGGTTTCACGGACAAATTCTCTGTGCATTTCTATTTATTCTCAACAGAGAAGACAATATCAATATGGCAGTGGAAATCAGTTGGGACAAAAAGTTCGATTTTCCCCATCAATGCTCATAGAGTAATGCTCCTAAATAAAGCTAAAATGGCCAAAAACAAACAATTGTACTCTGTTAGGTAAGAACCATTATTTTACTTGTCAATTTTACATATCGGTGGAGGAGACAGTTGAAGCTCAATCAAAAGTGCATGAGAATGTACGGATGAGCAATTCAGAGATCGTTTATATTTATCTATGTCACTTTGGAACTCTCAAAGTTTTTGTTGATGCTCTTTTTCGGAGAGGGTCAACTTAGAGATAGGGGGTTTGTCTTTAGCAAGAGAAGGGCCTGGGCCTTCAGTAAAAGGCTAGCCTGCAGAACACAAAAATAGAAGAAGCAGTCGTTAAGCTTCGGACACCGGTGTGGTGCCGGCCGAAGGCTCTCCGATGCCTGAGTCAGCTAGGGGTAGTGACTATCGTAAAGTAACAGTAATAGTGGAAGAGAAGTTACCCTTCTTCTTGGTTACTGTTCCCTACTTATAAGGAAGTAAAAGTAGGAGGTTTGCACAAAGTTCCGATGTGGGACTTTGTGCAAGTTGCTGTGATGATGACACGTGTCTCCTGTATTTTAGGTTTGGCAGTTCGGAGCTTCGGCAGGTGATTGTCCCTTCGGAAGAGCATCTCCCTTTGGCAGGGAGGAAGACATGTCCACCTTGGTGTACAATCACGCTTGGTTAATTATGGTGTAAACAGTTTTTATATATATATTTTTTCTTGTTATCAATCTCAGTCCAATAGGAATATAGATTAAAACGAGGTGAGATGCAAAATCCAAAAGAGTTGATAAACCTTACAAACCCAAAATCATATACTCGATGTTCTTAAGAAATTTACATGCAGCCGAGCCAATACTCGACGTGATTTAATTTACATGGATATGCAGTTTCATGCTATGTACTTCTGATGTGCCAGTTCTGCTATTTACAAGTGACACAAAATTTCTTCCATATGAACAAGTTCTGTTTCCCGTGTTGCATTTAAGAAAAGAAAAATGGAGAGTCCGAGGAGGCATTTGCTTTTGATGGCTGATTGAGCAAAATGGTGCTTGCAATGCGGCTCCATGAGTTGTCTCCATCAGAGTTGGACGAGCAAACAAAAGGGTTGTCGCCGATTCCATCATAGAAAATTCCATTGAACTCATCATCACTACCAGCCTGTGTCTGGTTCTTCGTTTCTTCGCCATCAGTACTTTCATCCTCCGAGAAGTTTGCATTCTTCTGAACCAGTTCTCTGAAGATTGAAGACTGAAGGAGGAGGCCAAGTGCGGTGGGAGAAGACGACTTGCTACCAGTGTTAAGTGGGACGCTACTTCTGGTGACTTTTTGCTTTTGAGGAGAGCTCAAGTAACCAGAGGCAAAAGGGTTTGTGTGTGAGAATGAGGGCTCCTCTGTTGGGATGTAGCTGTTGGCCATGAATGGTAGTATATTCTGAGGCTCTGCAACTGTCTCTGGTTCTTGAGTGGCAATCGGATAGTCAGCTCTTGGCTTTAACCATCTTATGTAAGAACTCAAGTCGAAGTTTGTCACAGCATTGATCCCTCTGTACTCAATTGCTGCAATGTCATAGGCACGAGCAGCTTCCTCTTGGGTGCCTGCAATGATACATTGATTGTTTTATGATTTTCAATTACAAAGTTTACTTCACAAATATTCAAACTAGTTTTTGGACGTTACATAATGTTATAATCAGATGTGGAAATTACTTACTATAAGTGCCAAGATAGAGGTACTTGTTTCCAAAAACTCTTCCTATTCTTGCTTCCCATCTACCATTATGATGGTGCCTGCAATTATGAACCAAATAGTCTTTAGAAACTGTTTGTTCGTTTGTAGTTTTTTTTTAAAGAAGTTGATTTGATTTGATCACCACAATATTAATAAGAATATTACCTTGCTACTCCTCTGTACTTAGATACACCTCTTGAAAAGCCACTGCTCTTTCTGAAACAAACATACAAATCATTTCAGGAAACCGGCCAAGGAAATTCCTCAGTTCAGAAGTCTTTCAACACAAAACAAAAAATGTTGAAGTCCTACCTTCGTAACGTGGCCAAATACTCTTCTTTTGTTACAGTCTGCATTATCTCAATTTCTTCCTCATAGTCTGATATCTGTAAACAGCATCAAGGTGTGAGATCATGAATTTTTACCCCTTTTACTACTAAGCTACATATTGTGTGTCTGATCAGAGATCAGGTTCATACCGCGAAGTTTGTGAAAGTTGACGTTCCCCAATACTTAAGTGCAGCTAAATCGTATGCCCTTGCAGCAGATTCTTCTTCATCATAAGCTCCTGAGAACACAAAGATTAATATAAGATTAATATGTTTCACTTACAGAATTAGCAAGTAAGTTTTAAGACTCAAACTGAACAAACTCAACCATGTAGCAAAATATACTCACCAAGATAAACTGCTCAGTCCCAAGAATCCATTCCGAATCACAATGCAATAGAACACAACACAGGGAACCAGATATCAGCGTCCAGGAGGAAAAGCAATAGATAATTAAACAGAGTGAAAGAAATGCAACAATGATATTTACCTTGTTTCCCTTTCTTCTTCTGCGTTGCATTCCAAGAGAGCTTATCCCACAAGTGGGCTTCAAATCGACCAGTCCATCGATGCCTGTTGACAAACAGTTTACCTTAATATTTCTACACATGAAACAAGAAGAAATTTCTGCCTACAACAATCATAACACCACTGAAATTTGTTTCCGATTCAAACCTGCTGACACCGCGAAATCTTGAACTTCTCTTCGTTGTGGTAGCAGAAGTTTGATCAGCTGGTTTTTGTGGCAAATGCTTCTCACTCTGGCTGTTGTCACAACTAACCGCAACTGCAGCCGGGTCTCTTCTCCTTCTCTTGACACACCGTGATTCCTGAGCCTCACGATCCACTGTGCTCAAGCGGCGCCTCCTAGTGTTCTCTTCATTCTTCACCATCATCATCTCCATTTCCTATAATAAATAAGCACTCAGGATTCTTTCCTCTGCTTTCTACAATTCTGTTGTTGCTTGTTCCTATGGTTGCTTGAACTGGAAGGATGCTCAACTGTATTATATAACATGTGTGCTTGTTTTGGCCTTAAGCTGTTTTGTTTTGTGCTGCCACAACAATATTACACCAGAAAACAAAGGAGACGATGATTTCAGAGCATCTGAGACAAATTTCCAAGTCCGTACTCTGTTTGGTAATCCCGAAGATCCAAAAGTCATTGTGGTTTTGGATTTGCTCATATGTGAGGTGAGGCCTCAAATTTTAGTGCCAGTTACAATTCTTGAAGGGTTTTTTTCTAGTCAATCCAATGAGTAGATTTCAATAATTCACAAACACCAAAAGCAAATCCTATAGATTTAAATACCTACGGATATGCCAATGCGTATTTGCTCATAATGAAATTCCAATGCTTATTTGCTCATAATGAAATGCCAATGCTTACCCCGTTTCAGCCCCCAAGCGGTCCACTCAAAGTTTTGCTTCATATCACAGGAAGCTTAGAAACAACCCTGAAATGACGATTATACCCCCACTAAATGACAAGGGCATTTTTGATGGTTCAAGTTTGGTTCCAATTAATTTTTTTTTCCCCAAAAACAAGCGATACTCTAAATTAATATAATTTATTCAGAAGTACTTGACTAATATAGTATGTGCTTCTTCAAAAATCACTTTCCAAGCTATTTGGAAGTGCTTCTGGAAAGGCTAAAAACACTTTTGACAGCGTTTGACTAATATACTATGTACTTCTTCATGAAGCACTTGGACTTTTTTAAATGGAAATTCAATATTTTTATAATAAAAGTGCTTTTGTTAGAAACACTTATAAACAAAAGTACTTCTAAGAGAAGTAGTCCCAACTAGAGATGTAATTGACTTTTCAACATTATTCTAATAAAATCACTTCTAAAAAAATATTTATGAACAAAAGTGCTTCTTATAAAAGCAAAATTTCCAGTGTAAGTTGTGTTTGTAGTGAGCTGTAAAATAAGACGGGCATCAAACACTGTTTCATTTTTTCATTTCCGAAAAAAAAAGAGAAAAGGAAAAAAGAAAAAAATTGGCTTCTTCAGACCACCAAACCGCAGAGCCTCATTTCAGTCCCATGTCACAGAAACCTCGACGACCACCATGGCGGTCACTACCACCGCCTTCTTCCTTCTTCTGATCCTAACTGCCGCCATAGCCACCGCCAGCTCCGCCCCAATCCTTGGCCTCGACACCTTCCTGACCCACCAGTCCCGCCTTGACCGTCAAGCCACCAACGACTCCTTCCTCTCTCTCTCCTCCACCCTCAGAAACTCCCTTTCCCATTCTACCCCTCTCTCCCACACCCCTCACTCCCTCATCTCCTCTCTCCTCTCTCTCTCCCTCCCTCTGTCTCTCCACGTCCGCCTCGTCGGCTCCTCCTTCCCCTCCTCCTCCGCCTCCCTCCTCTCCTCCTTCCTCTCGGCCTCCCAATCCTCCAACCACTTCCACGTCATCGCCCCCTACGAAATCCACTCTCACCGCCTTGCCGTCCAGCACTCTCTTCACCTCGACGTCTCTCACTCTCCATCTTTAGCTTCCCAACTCTCCAAAACCCTAAACTCTGAGCTCGAGAAAACCCCTTCCAGCCTCCGATCCCCGCTTCTCTCCATCCCCTACGACCCGATTGACCAGATCATAAAGCAGGACTTCGAGAAAGAGAAGCCCGTTCCTGGGGTTTACTTGTATTTTCTGAATTTGGGTCCCCAGTCCAAGCCTTATGCTTATAACTATGGATCTGGGGACTCTTCCGCTGCTTTTACCAAGTGTTTGGGGAGCATCTGGACTGGCAAAGACAGGTATATCTGGATTGACTTGGGTGCTGGCCCGGTCGATTATGGCCCAGCTCTTTCCGGTGATGGGGTTTTGCCTAGAGGCGAGTTTCATCCTCTCGCGGCGTTGCACGGTCGTCCCAAGGCTCAAAAGGCGTTGCTTGCTGACTTGGCTTCCTTGGTTTGGAGTGCTTACCAGGTTCTTCTTGTGCCCTCTTTGAGAATTCCTGTTCAGTTTGAGAATTCATTGATTGTTCAGTTTATTCATGTTTATGGGTCTGAGGGCAGTAAGGATTCTAGTGGTTTGGATTGGAAGTCGATTGAGAGAACGTTTATGGATGAGGCCCATGATAATGGGTTGTTGTTGGGGGATCAGTCTTTGAGGTTCAAGACTTATAGAGTGAGTTACTCGGAGTGTCCAATTTGTTCATTTGCAATTTCTCGGTCTATCAATTCGTATACGTCCAGATTCTTGTTTGATAACTATACGTTGATTGCAAGTGAGTATTTGGACTCGAAGCGATTGCATCAGATATTGTCTGATTCAGCTGAGGAATTTAGGAGGGTGGCAGGGTTTCCTGAGGAGGATTTCGGTAGGGTTCTTCCCGTTTATGTGTTTGATTTGGACTACAGCATGCTGTTGTTGCTCGATAGGTATCACCAATCTGTTGCTTTTAAAGACATGGTCATTGCAGTCAGGACAAAGAACACACAGACTGTCAGTGATTATAGCTGTAACGGGCGTCATGTGTTTACACAGACAAGGGAGCTTGAGCGACCGCTTGTTGGTTCGATTTTACAGAGCATGTGGGGAGTGTCACCAACCCATATGCTGTGGAGCCCTAGGCACAATACTACATTGGTGGATTACACATGGAGTGTTGGGCAGACTCCGTTTGGGCCGTTCTCTGAGGTTTCATCATTGTCATTTGTGCAGAAGGATGCTGCTCGTAGAAATGTTCTTTTGACATCACTCAATTACAGCATAACAAGTGCTGTGGATGTTCTTGAATCCATAGCTGCACATGGTGGGGAAAGAAAGCTCCTTAAAAGTAGTCGACATGTTGAGTTCGTACAAAGGTGGAACTTGTTCAAGTACAAGCTGGACAAAGCAGTCTCTGCATTGTCGCATTTAGATTTTGAGATGGCTTTGTATTACTTGAGGTCCTCAGATCACGACCTATATGCCATCCACTCTCTTGTCTATCATGCCTCCCAAGAAGTGGAGGCGTCCCTTATATGTTTCAAGGATCCACCAGTTCCGTGGACTGGGATCTGGTTGATTGCATTGGCTTTCCTTTTTGTCTTTTATCTTTCTAAACAACAAAAACTCTTCAGAAATAAAAGTAAGCAATTTTGAAGTTCTTGAGAGGAAATGAAGTTTGTATCTTTTGAATGCAATACATGTATTTCGGTAAGGGACATGATTCAGAGGTCAGGAACTAGTATTCAGTTTACTCATAACTTTACTGCATTTTAAGTTTGTACTTTGCCCATTTATTTATCAAGTTCATAATATTTGCCAATTGCAACCTGTAATTTCATCACTTACAGAATTGTCACTAATTGTATGATGTTCCTAGAACTTCTGGGGTGTGCTACTTTTATGAGGTTGTTATTTTGTAATTGTTCTTGTAGGCTGACTTCCATAGGAACACTGGGTTCCCCGGATCAAAGAGAATAATAATATGTGGATTTCTATCCAACTGAGGATAGTGTCTTGTGGAAGTCGTGTTTTGCTTTTTTTTCATTTATCTATTTTTCCCAGTGAACTTCCTTTTTAATTTATTGATACCCTCAAATGACATGTCTCGAGAAATACTTACCTGTATCAGAGTGTATATGGAAGTCCCTCACGATGCTCCCAACCAAGATGGGATCTGCTGGTTTGTGGTTTTTAGCTTAGCCAACAATATATCACGGTTAAAAAAATTGAATGTGAGTGTTTGATGTAGAATCTGACCACATGAAATGAAAGGAATAGAAATGAACTAGAAAACAGAGTTCAAATGACTAAAATACAATTGTGCTACGTATTGGGCACGAACCACTGTATTACTTGTCAATTGTACATCTCTGTAAAGGAGGCAAACTGCAGCATTTAAGTTGAATGAATCTGGGACGATGAACCTGAACCGAAAGTGCATGATAATGTATTCAGAAATCATTCATATGCAACTCTGGAAACGTTCACACTCTTTCTTTTTCTTGTTCATAATCTCTCAGCCTATATTAAGGTGAGATGAAACTATGAAAAATCGAAAAAGTTGGTAAACATCACATTACCAAAACCATAAACTCGATGTTATTAAGTTGTTTACGTGCAACTTGCAAGCAATGCTGGACATGATTTAATTTACAACGATATGCAGCATCAATCTCATCACGCCATGTACTTTTTTTTTTGCACCAATTCTGTTATTTACAAAGTGAAACAAAATTTCTTCCATATGGCAAAGTTCTGTTTCCCATGATGCATCTAAGAAAAGAAAAATAGAGAGTCTGAGGCATTTGCTTTTGTTGGTGGATTGAGCAAAATGGTGCTTGTAATGCTGCTCCATGGGTTGTTATATACATCAGAATTGGAAGAGCAAGCAAACGGGTTGTTGCCAATTCCATCATAGAAAATTCCACCGAACTCATCATCACTACCAACCTGTGGCTGGTTCTTTGTTTCTTCTCCGTCAGTACTCTCATCCTCCGAGAAGTTCGAGTTCTTCTGAACCAACTCTAAGAATATTGATGATTGAAGGACGAGGCCAAGTGCAGTGGGAGACGATGACTTGCTACCGGTGTTAAGAGGGATGCTGCTACCGATGGGGGAGTTGAAGTAATCAGAGGCAAAAGGATTTGTGTGTGAGAAAGACTCCTCTGTTGGGATGTAGCTGTTGGCCATGAATGGCATATTCTGAGGCTCTGCTACTATCTCTGGTTCTTGAGTGGGTATTGGATCGTCTGCTAGCTGTTGGCTTTAGCCATCTTATGTAAGAACTCAAGTCAAAGTCAGTCACAGCATTGATCCCTCTGTACTCAATTGCTGCAACGTCATAGGCACGAGCTGCTTCCTCTTGGGTGCCTGAAATGAGATTAAAAAGACACATTGTTCAGTAAGTGCAAATTCTCTTCATTATAGTTTTCAACTTTCTCTTTTATGACAGTTTATATTGCAGCTAGTTTTTGGATAATGTTATAATCAGTTATGGAGATAGGAGATCAGAGATAACTTACTGTAAGTGCCTAGGTTGATGGTACTTGTTTCCAAAAACTCTTCCTATTCTTGCTTCCCATCAACCATTATGATGGTACTTACAATGGTAGTGTGTAAAGGTTGATGTATGCTAAATTTAAACCTATTGCCCTAGGAAGTTGCTGCTGTAACGTATGGCTGTCCGGCTAAAAAACCGAGTATAGCCGCGCGGCTATACTATTTAAAACATTTAAAAAGAGGACCCTTAGGCACCCACGTGTGAAAACTGTATAGAGTCGAACCATGCTACCATCTCATTTGTCTTCTCTGGTTCGGCACCTTCGCCTTCACTTCAACCACTGGGGGCATTCTCTGAAACCCATCAACTCAATCCATATGAGTGTGTTGGGGCGTTAAGTCAAAGTAGTGTCGAATCATTCGATGACGATAATGAAGGATGGACATTGGTCACTTGGAGGAAGTTACATAAGAAGAATGCATCTTTGCCAAGAACTGCTCAATCAAAAAGATATGTAAACAAAAGAAGTTCTCCTCAACCACCTAAAAAGCATAAATGAAATAAATTGTCAAATATGAACAAAATGGTTCCAAAAGATGAACTCTTGAAACAAAGGTCACCTAGCCCCATCATGCTACATGACTTCTTCCTCAAGGGATTCTTCAAGAATAATGCGTCGAGCACCTCCTGAGGTGAAAAAACATAAGGAGGATACTTCTCACTTCGCTTGACACAAATTCAACCAAAACGCTCATTCGCCTGCACAAGCCAAAATTGCACAAGGCACCAAAACGCTCCTTCGCCTACACGTGCCAAAATTGCACAAAGCACCAAAACGCTCCTTCGCTTGCACAAGCCAAAACTGCACAAGGCACCAAACGCTCCTTCACCTGCACGAGCCGAAACTGCAAGGCACCAAAACGCTTCTTCGCCTGCACGAGCCGAAACAGCAGAAAATTCCCTGCATTCTTCACCTACACTTTGGAAGAGCCACCAAGCACAACAATACGTGCCGGTTCCTCCACCCTAGAAAATTCCAAACACCAAACAAGCCTTGTGCTACCCGTTTGATCAAGATCAAGTCTCTACGACCTTTGCATCAAGCACAAATTTTCTTTATACACTTTGGAGATCGAATCAGAGGATTCAATACAGAGATTGTAACCCTAAATTTCATTAATACAAATATTATTTTGTACACGTGTTCTTGTCTCATTTGTTGCAGGAAATTTGTGTTTACAAATTTGGCACGCCCAGTGGGACAATCTCTACCTCTCATCTCTTTTTCCAATTCCAAAATCAACCAACACGCCAAAAACCATGGCCTCTAAGAAGATTCAAACCATTCTTGCGGCGAAAGGGAAGTGTGAGCGCCTCATTCTCAAGCGGAGATTCTGCTGGGGTCGTCACCCGGAGCAAGGCCAAGGCGATATCCACAACTCCACCGGTCACTTCCATATCGACTCAAGCCAAGGCAAAAGACGTGAACCAGTTATCAATCTGGCCTCCTTGGGGGCAAAGAAGAATACCGCCCGAGCAGAGGAGAGAAACTCTCGGATTTTCTTTATACATTTTGGAGATTGAATAAGAGGATTCAATACATAGATTGTAACCCTAAATTTCATTAATACAAATATTATTTTGTACATGTGTTCTTGTCTCATTTGTCGCAGGAAATTCGTGTTTACAATGGAGATAGGAGATCAGAGATAACTTACTGTAAGTGCCTAGGTAGAGGTACTTGTTTCCAAAAACTCTTCCTATTCTTGCTTCCCATCAACCATTATGATGGTACTTACAACGGTAGTGTGTAAAGGTTGATGTATGCTAAATTTAAACCTATTGCCCTAGGAAGTTGCTGTTGTAACGTATAGCCGTCTGGCTAAAAGACCGAGTATAGTCGCGCGGCTATACTATTTAAAACATTTTAAAAAGAGGACCCTTAGGCACCCACGTGTGAAAACTGTATAGCCACACGGCTATCATATTTATTTAAAAAAATTATATAATAAAGAACCCAGTAAAGCCGTGCGGCGATACACCTAAATAAGGTATAGCCGGTTGGCTATACTAATTACTAAAAAAATTTAAACAATGTGGTACAGCCGCGCACGTGTAAAATAGTATAGCCGGGCGGCTATACACTTTTAAAACAAATTAAAAAACTTATTATAGCCAGGTGGCAATACTATTTTTAAATAAAATAAAGAACCCCGTAAAGCCGTGCGGCTATACGCCTAAATAAGGGAAAGTGTTGTGTTTTAGAGACCGTTGGGTTGGCTCTCGCTTGTAATAGTCTTGGGCTGGCATTTCAAAAGGCCCAAATTGGGGTTCATTCACATGGCCCAAGCTCACATTAGGTTGGGTCTTCACAGAAAATTGGTTTCGCCTTCCAAGTTCCAACCAATAAATTAGAATCATATGTATCCAGAGATTTTATAGGTACATTGAGAAATTTTGGGATTGTTTTCAAAATGTGGTGGGTGTGCTAATCAGAACCTTAGGTGCATTTACAAATCCCTAAAATATTCTCTCATACATATAAGTGTGAGTGATTCTCTCCTACATGATGAACTTACAATGTTAAACCAAATGTTGAAAAATGTTTCAAGTTCGAATGCCTCATTTCTCGTCAGTAAAACAAAAAACAAAACTATTTGATTGGTGAGAGAAAAGATGAAATTTCTCACTCACAAATATTATTATAGGAGTTCATTTCCTAAGGAGAAGAGAATGCCCCTCTTTAATATTATTGTTGGATATAAACAAGTTGAAATAAGTAGCTAGAAATGTGGCCTATTCTTATATTAACCTCTAAATTGATACAAGGATGTAATTGGTATTTATGTCCAGATATTTAAAGATTGATTCATCCTTGAAACAAACATTTTTATACCAAATTTAGAATACACTAGATGCCAAAAAATTTGCCAAATTAAGGACCAGCACTGCACGACGTGTAGACTAGTAACATGCAGTGGTAAATCATACATCAGAAAACCGTACAACGTGCCTCATCAAGAACAATGCTTTCTCCAAAAAATGAATCACCCTATCCTACTCTTTTGAAGGTGAAAAGAATGTCTCAGAAAGTGTTTGATTACAGGCTACTTAGGCGCACCCCAAAATATCCTATCTTTTCCACCATCCCATTTACTATTATATTTTTCATCGTTTATGCAGACTACACTGTCTTTAACCTTCCCATGCATCCTGTTAACCTGAGAATCCATGAACTTTTTCAAGATCACAACACTCGATTACCTCGACAGAAAACTGAATTAACCTTGACTGCTGAGAGCATGCCACAGCTTTCCATACAGGAAAAGATAGATGAAGTTGCAGAGGAAGTTCCTGGTCCTCTGGTTCCTCCAGAAAATGTCACAAAAGGGGAAGCTCCCGGAACTGCAGATACTCAACTCAAACAATTTAACAGAGCAGTTTCATGGTCGAGTACTTGAGTTCCTCAACCATGGATGCAGTGCTCAGTTCTACTTGATATGGTTTTCACCAGCAACCAAGTTTGGCAAAAGAGAATTCATGGCCATGGACAGTCTCTTTAAATTCAATCCTAAAGGGTGCTTGATGATCCTATCAAAAAGCATGGATTCAAAAAGTGGATACTGAATCCTGAAGCCGCTTCTCGATCGAGGATTCAAAGTAAAAGCATTAACACCAGACCTGCCCTTTCTAGTCAAGAACACCCGAGGTGAAACTTGGCTTCAAGAATTATGACTAGTCTCAGACAACTGTGTCATTTGCCCTGATATGTATACTTCTTAAGGAAATTTTTGCGCCATAAGATGGTGAAGGTGAAGCCTATATGCTTAGGCATTTGACTCACCTAGTCACATCACATGTAGCAGAACCCACTATCTCTCTAGTAGATGTTCATAGTTCCATTACAGAGACAGAGAGGGTCGCGGGTCGCGTGTGGCAGGTGTGGGCAAGGGGTCGTCGCGGCCTGGTGGTGGTGGTGATCGACTCGTGAGAGAGAAGGAAGCAACAGCGTGAGGTTTTTAAAGTCAGAAAAAAAAGGACCCGCCCAGGCGCCCAGACTCGCCTAGAGCCGCCTAGCCACCGCCTAGAGCCGCCTAGGCCGATTTTTCGAATCTAAAGCAGAAGAAAAGAATTCATAGCTATTTGAATGTCCCAACTTGAAGCAGATTCTTGTCGTCCCATACTATCAGTTTTCGGATTGAAAAATCTTACATCTTTGTAAGCATCAACACTTGAAAGATACTCTAGCCTCCCTAACTAGACCAATAACAAAGGTCCAAGGGTTACCTGCACACAGCTTGCCCGGATGGTCCCTGATAAATAAACAAACGGCGATTTGAGCATAACCCATCACCATAAAAGCATCCAACTTCAAGCTCAATCCCAGAAACTTAAAACTGTTGAAGTGCAAAAATTGAATCCCCATGTTACCTTCATTTAAAGAACAATAGAGAGCAAGAAACGGGGGTACGAATTTACATTTTATATGTCCGAAACGGTTAATGGGTAGTAGCTGCCGAGATTGAGAACAAAACAGTGGAAGAGAGGATCGAAGTGGCAAACGAAATGCGAGCTTGAGATAAACCGTGTTGGTTTGAGAGCGAAAGTGTTTTAGAGACCGTTTGGTGGGCTTTCGGCTTGTATTATTAACTCCAAAGGCCCAAAACGATGGGCTTCATTCACAAGCCTCAAGCCCAAAAGATTTGCGTATATCTTTTTCACCCAACAGAAAATATATTCCAAAATCACCATCATGCATTTTTGTTACAAGTAATAAATAATCTTAGCCTCTCACATTCATTCATAGTTAGTAAAATATGGAATGAGAAAAAATACGAATATATCTTAGCCATTTCATCCATGGAATGTTGTTTTTTTTTTTTTTTTTTTTTTTTTTTTTTTTTTTTTTTTTTGGTGGTATTTTGGTTGGTAATCTCGTATTATTTCTTATAAATAAAATCCATTTTATTCTTGCCCAATGGGCATGATTTAATTTACATCGATATGCAGCATCAATCTCATCACGCTATGTACTTTTTTGATGTGCCAATTCTGTTATTTACAAAGTGAAACAAAATTTCTTCCACATGACAAAGTTCTGTTTCCCATGATGCATCTAAGAAAAGAAAAATAGAGAGTCTGAGGCATTTGCTTTTGTTGGTTGATTGAGCAAAATGGTGCTTGTAATGCTGCTCCATGGGTTGTTATCTCCATCAGAATTGGAAGAGCAGGCAAACGGGTTGTTGCCAATTCCATCATAGAAAATTCCACCGAACTCATCATCACTACCAACCTGTGGTTGGTTCTTTGTTTCTTCTCCGTCAGTACTCTCATCCTCCGAGAAGTTAGAGTTCTTCTGAACCAATTCTCTGAATATTGATGATTGAAGGAGGAGGCCAAGTGCAGTGGGAGATGATGACTTGCTACCGGTGTTAAGAGGGATGTTGATACCGATGACTTCTTGTTTTCGGGGGGAGTTGAAGTAATCAGAGGCAAAAGGATTTGTGTGTGAGAAAGACTTCTCTGTTGGGATGTAGCTGTTGGCCATGAATGGCATATTCTGAGGCTCTGCGACTGTCTCTGGTTCTTGAGTGGCTATTGGATTGTCTGCTGTTGGCTTTAGCCACCTTATGTAAGAACTCAAGTCAAAGTTAGTCACAGCGTTGATCCCTCTGTACTCAATTGCTGCAACGTCATAGGCACGAGCTGCTTCCTCTTGGGTGCCTGAAATGAGATTAAAAAGACACATTGTTCAGTAAGTGCAAATTCTCTTCATTATAGTTTTCAACTCTCTCTTTTATGACAGTTTATATTGCAGCTAGTTTTTGGATAATGTTATAATCAGTTATGGAGATAGGAGATCAGAGATAACTTACTGTAAGTGCCTAGGTAGAGGTACTTGTTTCCGAAAACTCTTCCTATTCTCGCTTCCCATCTACCATTATGATGGTGCCTGCAATATATGAACCAAATAATCTTTAGACACTGTTTTTCCATTTGCAGTTTTTTCAAAGAAATTGATTTGATTTGATCACCAAAATATTAATCAGAATATTACCTTGCCACTCCTCTGTACTTAGATACACCTCTTGAAAACCCACTGCTCTTTCTGAAAAAAAGAAATAAATAATTCTTTCAGGAAATTGGTCAAGGAAATTCATCAGTGCAGAAGTCTTTCCACAAAAAGAGATGTTCGAACTTCGAAGCCCTACCTTCTTAACGAGGCCAAATACTCTTCTTTTGACACAGATTGCATGATCTCAATTTCTTTCTCATAGTCCGATATCTGTAAACAACATCAAGGTGTGAGATCATAAATTTTTAGTTTTTTCTTTCTCTAATGCTAAACTCCATATTTACATGTTGTAGCTGATCAGTGATCATATTCATACCGGAAAGTTGGTGAACGTCGACGTTCCCCAATACTTAAGTGCAGCTAAATCATATGCTCTTGCAGCAGATTCTTCTTCATCATAAGCTCCTGAGAAACAAAGAATAAAAAGATTAATATGCTTCACTCACAGAATTAGCAGTATGTTCTAAGACTCAAACTGAACAAACTCAACCATGTAGCAGCATATACTCACCAAGATAAACTGTTCAGTCCCAATAATCCATTCCAAAGCACAACACAATAGAACACAACACAAGGAACCATATATCAGTATCCAGGAGGAAAAGCAATAGATGATTTAACAGAGTGAAAGAAATGCAAAAATCAATATTTACCTTGTTTCCCTTTCTTCTTCTGTGTTACATTCCAAGAGAGCTTATCCCACAAGTGGGCTTCAAATCGACCGGTCCATCTATGCCTGTTAACAAACAATTCATGTTAATATTTCTACACATGAAAGAAGAAGAAAGTTCTGCCTTAAACAATCAGAAAACCATTGAATTTTGTGCATATGTTCAAACCTGCTGACACCGCGAAATCTTGAACTTCTCTTCATTGTGGTAGCTGAGGTTGGATCAGCTGGCTTTTGTGGCAACTGCTGCTCACTCTGGTTGTTGTCACAACTAACTGCAACTGCAGGTGGGTCTCTTCTCCTTCTCTTGACAGACCGGGTTGCCTCAGTCTCACGATCTGCTGTGCTCAGGCGACGCCTCCCAGGGTTCTCTTCATTCTTCACCATCATCAGCTCCATCTCTTATAACAAGTCCTCGGATTCTTGTTTTCCTCTTCTTTCTTTTAATCTGTGGTTGTTGTTCCTGTGGTTGCTTGAACTGGAAGGAAGGATGGTTTGGAGCATATATATAACTTGTGTGCTTGTTTTGGATTTATGCTTTTTTGTTTTCTGTTGCCACAACTGTATTATATTAGAAAACAAGGTGAACGATGATATCGGAGCATTCGAAACAAATTTCAATTTCAATGTCCGTACTCTGTTTGGTAACCCCAAAGATCCAAAAGTCTTATGGTTCCATGTGGTCTTGGACTTGCTCATATCATATGGCCGGTTTGGTGCTGCTGCTGCTGCATGCCAGTGAATAACATGTGCAATGGCTTTTATGCCAGTTTTAATTCTTGTAGTAATTTACAAACACCAAAAGCAAATCCCATAGTTCATATTTAATTTCCAATTTGAATCTCCCTATTTCTTCTGTATTATTAGTTCAAAGATCAAAGATTTATATGAAGAAACTCTTCTTCTACAAGTTAAGATTGAAAGGTGAAAAACTTTCATCCATGCAGAACATATTTCCTGCAGCTGGCATGAAGGTGACCGAAGCCCAACAAACACAAAAGACAAGAAATAAATGCCGTGTTCTGACTCTGGTCCTTGATACCGACCAGCTGCTAGTTTCCTGCAAATTAACAAACCATGTTTATCTTTTATGTGCAAGAACACTCGAGAATGCCCTTGCATTTGTTTGTCTGCATGAATAAAAAAGTGGAAGAAGAAATAATGGTTTTTTTTTGGGAACAGTTGGGGCTGGTGGTGCTTTCCAAATCCCATAGGGGTCATCGGAGAGTTTGGACTGTTTATGCCGAGTATTTAAATATATTCAGATTCTGATGCTTGTGGGTTGTGTGCGCTTTTTCTGAAGCTGATTTGAATTTTGTTCCCCATACGTATAGACGACGGTGTTTTCTAGAAAGCAGATGCTTTGATAATATTCTTGAAAAAACAAAATTATTTTTCTTAGAATATTACAGCTGATGGGGATATATGGCGCATATGGACGGTCATGTACTTGTTAAATTGCACCAGTTTAAAGAGCAGAACCAAAACCAATACTTCGCTGTCGAAACTTCCTCTCCTCTTCCCAACTCAAAAACCAGTCCAGATTTGAGCTTTCGGAACCCTTCGAAAGCTTTCATCTCCGATGTGGGATACGCTCAACTTGTTATTACAAACAGCGGTGAAATGGATGATGCCATTTTGATCATGAGTTTGCTTCTAATGGAATGTTGTTGGGATTTCGGAGTCTGGAGACATTACAGTTCAGATATAGTTTGCTCATTGCTGCCACATGAACTATATAGCTTGGCTAGAAATTCAAAAATAACCTTCTTTTTTTTTTTGGTTAAGGAACTTTCTTATTGAAAGGAGCGATAGTATACTAAACTCCCACTCTATGTATAAATGTTAGGATCCGAACTCATGACCCTTTATGGGGAAGCAATTGCTCTATACCACCGCAATAGTATCCGGTGGCTCCTTTGCCAAAAAAAAATAATTTAAAGTTATAAACATAAAGTTGCACTAAAAATGTACAAAACCTTGATCCTCAACCGTTTGCGTCTGTTACTATAAAATTTTGATCCCATTTTAACAACATTTCTCTCTTAATCTTCAATAGGAATCACATGCTTACGTGTTTCTGTTTTTGTCCTTTGGTCCAAAGTGGTATTAACCCGAACCCGAATAGATTTGGACTCTAACTGAAATCAGATCCATACAAACGAAACGGGCTTGTGAGTTGTAATCGGGATCAACCGGTCCAACCCAATTATTAATTTGAATTGGGCTTCCTTGGGTTTCAAAACGACGCCGTAACACCCATATCGCTTCTCAATTGGCGCGCATTGGGCGTGCTGCGCATTGCGCACCGCCACTTCAACTATATAACACCCCCTTCAGCCTCTCGTTCGCAAATGCGCACACACACTCTTCTTCTTTCACTGGTTTTCGACTTTCATGCTCTCAGCTATCTTCACAGTTGGATTTGATACCATGACGGACGGCCACCTCTTCAACAATATCTCTCTTGGAGGCCGTGGAGGCACTGTGAGTCTCTCTCCTTCTACTCAGTCTGATGACTCTTTTTGGGGATTCGTTTTTCGATTTATATTTATTTTGAGTTTTCTCAATGCTATTTGAAACCTGGGTTCTCCATACATATATTTTTTAATGTCTGTGGTTTCGGTCTCTTTAGTTCGGTCAAAATTTGGTGTAGAAATGCGAATTTGGGGGTTATGATAGCTGTGTATTCTTTCGGTTGGTCGCCTTGAAACCCTAATTTGTTCTTTCCTGGAGTTGTCTGTGATTTTTTTGTAGTTTGGTTGCAGAGAAAATTGTGATTTTTCAATTTTGGTCAGAGCGAAAATGATAGGGTTGGGGATAGGGAAATGGGGTTATTTTCTTCGGTGTAAAACCCTAGTTCCATTGTGTTCGATAGAAGTTTCTTACTTTATATTAAGAGTTTCCCATGTTGAAGTTTTGAATTCGTTGCAGACAGTGAAACCTGGAACGTAATGACATGGGCTACTCTCTCTCTCTTTGTCCGTCTTATAAATCTCTAATTCGTTTAAGAAGATGTATTCCAGTGTCTTTAGTTATTTTTTGATAAATTTTCTCCTTTTCTTTTTGTTCATATTTCTTGATGTCTTTTTAATTGCGGGAGGAAAGGAGTGACAGGATGAATGTGTCAATTCTGTGGCTTAAAAAACCCTAAATCGTTGCATTTCATGGAAGTACACATTGCTGGAGTTTTCATATTTTATTTGTTTCTGAGAAATAGTCGCAAAAGGTTTTAAGAATTTGTAAAGCTATAAGCTCACGTTATCATTTCATTGCAAAGTTTTGATATTTGCATTATTTGATAAAAATTATAGATTCATCTGTAAGTTATGCAGTAAGTGGAAATTTATAAGTTTGAGCGTTGTATTGTTCCTCATTGTGTCATATGTGGAATGCAGAATCCGGGGCAGCTAAAAATATATTCTGGAGGGATTTCATGGAAAAAACTGGGAGGTGGTAAAGTAGTTGAGGTTGATAAAGCTGACATTGTTGGGGCGACATGGATGAAGGTCCCAAGGACTAACCAACTTGGTGTTCGGATTAAAGACGGATTATACTACAAGTTCATTGGATTTCGTGACCAGGTTGGTGAGCATTTGCGGAGAATGTCCCACTTCTGTTTTTGTTTGAAAACTTTTGTTACAATTTAACAAATAAAAGTGCATATGAACTAGTTGTTCAGGTCAAACCAAGCTTCCTCCATACATCTTTTGCATACTAATGGCAATTTTCAATTATGATCGGATAAAACTAGCTTTTTGTCAATAATGTTGTGCAGGGATGTGAACAAATTGCTAATTTTTGGCTCGTTTCCTCTATGCTTGCGTTGTAGGATGTCACTAGTTTGACCAACTATTTCCAAAATACATGCGGATTAACACCAGAGGAGAAGCAGCTTTCTGTAAGCGGACGTAATTGGGGAGAAGTCGATTTAAGTGGTCAGTGATATTTTCATCCATTCAAGTTGACTACCTCAACTAATTTCTTATCACTTATTTTTTCTTTCTCACATTCATTGGTTATGATTCACTTGTTTCTTGTAAATTGGTTTTTCCATGGTGGGTTATGTTTTTTTGTTGTGGATTGTTTCTCATAGGATGGAAGTTGGGAAAATGCTTCCACCTTGCTACATTCTTAAGCAAAATGTTCTGCTGAGTCTGCTTGAAGTTGGTTCCTTTGTTTTCTTCTCTTTTCAATTCATCATTTATGTCCTTTAGGAGTCTTACAGAGCCTGGACATTTCTTTTTTGTACCTGCCTGGTATCCTAGTGAATGGTCTTCCGCAGTTCTGTTGAAATTCTTTACTTTTCGTCCATGTATGATTTCTTCTGTGATGATGTGACAATCTTGGTTGTATATTTGGTTCCTTAAAGGCAGTACACTGTCTATGTGTCAGTTTGAGTGATTTTCAGTTCTTCTTTTGCTATTTTGCAGGGAACATGCTGACTTTCTTGGTTGACACTAAGCAAGCATTTGAGGTATCTTTGGCTGATGTTTCACAAACTCAGCTTCAGGGAAAAAATGATGTCATCTTAGAGTTCCATGTGGATGACACCACAGGAGCTAATGAGGTTTGTTGCTTATATTTGTGGGTTTTTATATTTATAAAGATAGTAGGTTTTTATACAGTGATTCTATAGATACCCAGAATTAAATATAAGACCTGTTTAGCAAAAGGTTTAGGTTTTCCGTTACAATCTAATAATTTCATTTTTGTTTACATTATATTATTGATCACAGAAAGATTCATTGATGGAAATAAGTTTTCACATACCGAACTCCAACACTCAGTTTGTTGGTGATGAGAATCGTCCCCCTGCTCAAGTGAGTTTGTTCATGTCATGTGATACGACTTTTTTAGGTCTTTTAGTATTGATCTTGCGATTCATTTACTGAATCACTTCTGATTCAATGTTCTGTAGGTTTTTCGTGACAAAATCATGTCTATGGCAGATGTTGGTGCTGGGGGTGAAGATGCTGTTGTCACATTTGAGAGTATTGCAATCCTCACACCAAGGTAGATGTTAATGAGAATACCAGGGATACTGCACCTACTTGCATCTGCACTAGACTAGCTTGCCATTTGTATTAGATTATGCTTCTATGTCATATGCTGCTAGTGCCAGGCTAACGGAAGTATTTGCTTAATGCAGGGGTCGCTACAGCGTGGAACTTCATCTTTCATTCTTGCGGCTACAAGGACAGGCTAATGATTTTAAAATTCAGTACAGCAGTGTTGTTCGACTGTTTCTTCTTCCTAAGGTTTTATCTTGGGCACTAATATTACTTGTTCACTTGTTCTGTTTTCAAAGGTTCTGTTGTACATGTTTATATAAACACCTATGACATTGTTCGATGTACATTAGTTGAGTTCTCTCTTCAAGGGCTGAAAGGATTATCAGCATCATATTTACTCAATTCTTGTAGTCAGTTAATGTGTCCTTTGAATATTTTATAACGGATTCTTCTTTGCTTTGTGCAGTCTAACCAGCCACATACCTTTGTTGTTGTTACTCTTGATCCACCTATCCGGAAGGGGCAAACATTGTACCCTCATATTGTTTTGCAGGTATTGTGTGCTACATTGCCTTTATGATCATCAGTTTAAGTTTTTCCATAATTGTTTCCTTTCATTGACTTCTTCTATCTTGTATAGTTTGAAACTGACTATGTGGTTCAAAGCGAGCTGTCGATGAGCGAAGAACTTATGAACACCAAGTACAAGGACAAGTTAGAACTATCTTACAAGGTAAGATAGTTCCTTCTCATCTTCTGAAGCTTGTAATGTAACTAACAGTTGTTTCATTTGTTTAACGACAGTGTGCTAGTTAACATGAGCTACTATTGTTTTATTTTATTCAAATAAACAGGGACTAATTCATGAAGTGTTCACCACAATATTGCGTGGCTTGTCTGGTGCCAAAGTTACGAAACCGGGAAAATTCCGTAGTTGTCAAGATGGTTATGCCGTGAAATCTTCATTGAAAGCTGAAGATGGAGTTCTATATCCTCTTGAAAAGAGCTTCTTTTTCCTACCTAAACCTCCCACCCTTATTCTTCATGATCAGGTAGAATTTGCATCCGTTGAGCCTATATTGCTGGTCTAACCAAAACCTGATTGATGTTACTTGGAATCTCACGTTTTTTCTTCATTCTAATACTAGATTGACTATGTGGAATTTGAGAGGCATGGCGCTGGAGGCTCAAATATGCACTATTTTGATCTTCTGATCAGACTCAAAAGTGAGCAAGAACACCTGTTTCGAAACATTCAGAGGAATGAATATCATAATCTTTTTGACTTCATCAGGTTAGTATGAATACCAAGTAGTTTCCACTGTAGGTCATTGGTTGTTGGAATTCAAAATTTGACATTTTCGCACACATGCAGTTCAAAGGGTCTCAAGATCATGAACTTAGGAGAAGGCCAAACAGCAGATGGTGTGGCTCCTCTTCTTGAAGAGGCAGATGATGATGCTGTTGACCCACACCTTGTCCGTGTGAAGAATGAAGCTGGTGGTGATGAGAGTGATGAAGAGGTGTTACTTCTATCTTATTTTCTTTATGTTGGTGTTTTTCTTCTTTTGTCTGATTCTCTTTTGAGAGTGATGATGCTGTTGACCCTGTTGCTATGTATAAAATGCTTTCTTTTATAGTTTGTCCAATCACTTGATTTAGAATTTGCCTTTTATAAGAAAGTTGTGCAAAATTTGTATTTTTATGACCATTTTCCTCTAGTAGTCTGTGTGTGTAGTTAGCCCTAGTTGTTTCGTACATCCGTGTGTGCATTACACAAGTGCACTTTTGTGTTCACATGCTACTCTGGTTTCGTCACCACCATTTTTGAGTGTCTTGTGATTCTCCAGTCCAAGTGTGTTAAACATGGTGAACTTTGGCAGGATGAAGATTTTGTTATTGATAAGGATGATGGAGGTTCTCCTACTGATGATTCTGGGGAGGATGATTCAGATGCTAGTGAAAGTGGAGCTGAGAAAGAGGCAAGTCATTTTATTAATTATATTTGCTTAGATATTTAAAGAAGGCTATAATGTAATCTTATATATAGTATTAATAGTATCCCATTTAACATGAATGGCCAATTTCAGAAGCCTGCAAAAAAGGAGCCTAGAAAGGAACCTTCAACTTCCAAGGTATCATCTTCCAAGAAACAAAAATCCAAAGATGGAGGTGAAGATGGTGCAAAGAAGAAGAAGCAGAAAAAGAAAAAGGATCCAAATGCACCAAAAAGAGCAATGTCTGGTTTCATGTTCTTCTCACAAATGGAGAGAGAGGTGGGTTTGTTATCTATATCTTATGGTACTAAGTTTGGTTTGGGTATGGGAAGATGTGTTTGCTAATAGGTTCAGGTTGATGAAACAGATTAATTTTATCTCTGTTGCGTCGATAGTCTGTTGACTATGTTTTTGTTGACCACAGAATGTAAAGAAAAGTAATCCCGGAATTGCATTTACCGACGTGGGAAGAGTACTTGGAGATAAGTGGAAAAAGATGTCAGGTATGCATGATTCGAAAATTACATACTGTGCTTCCACAGCATTTTTGATAAAATCTGTCATTTACAACTTGTGCCATATTTTCCATCTTGCAGCGGAGGAGAAAGAACCCTATGAAGCAAAGGCTCGTCAAGATAAATTACGCTACAAGGATGAAATAAGTGGCTACAAGAACCCCCAACCCATGAATATAGATTCAGGGAACGAATCTGACAGCGGGTAGATTAAGGTAGAAAATGGAAGTAAAGCCCAGTTTTTGGTTCAAATGTACTTCGTTTGGCTAATTTGTATTGTAGGATCTATAATTATGGAGCATGTTTGTATCATGTTTGGTTAACGTTATACATGATGAGCTAATTAGGGCATAAACTTAAAATCCCCTTTGTTTTGGGTGCCGAGAAAACTAGTTTCAGTTTCAGATACTTTGAGCATGGCCCTGTTCAACATGCATTGCCACATGTACAGAAGCTTGAATCTCTCTTTAATTGAGTTTGTTTTCACTCTCATTCCTACTCTTCAGTTCCCACCAAATTTAACATAATTTATTAATATCCACTCTCTCCTCCAAAATGTGAAATGTTATACATGGGAAATTAGAGACCCCTTTTTACTAAGATATTCTTTCAAGAAATTTCCAGTCACTCTTTTTCATTTAGAAGCTGTCTGATCTGATTAGTGTTTGTTGGGTTAGCTATACGTTTCTTCAATTGTTTACAATTACCAGTTTAATACTACATTTTTCTTTTCTTTTTTGGTTTTTCGGTCAGGTCAGAGACATTTAAATAAATTAAAAAAAAAAAAAAAAAAAAAAAAAAAAAATAAAATCAAATCTCGAACTTTCGTCTGTCATGGTCAGGCAATAGAACATGATGTAATAAATATTTTCTATTTAAAGGCATATCAAGCCTGCTAATACATATACATGTTCTACTACAAAAGAAAAAGAAACCAAATGTTTAAAGATATAATTAAAACAAAATAAACAGTAACAACATTTCTATTCTATTTTCTCTACTTGTTTTGTAGACTTTATTTGACCTTCAATCCGAGTTGTATGTACAAATCGAAGGGTTATCTTTTCTTTTTATTGCTTAGGGTATAATAGTACTCCAAGATAACCCTTGGATTTGCAATGCATTTATTTAAAAGACAATAAAAAAAAAAAAAAAAAAAAAAAAAAAAAAAAACAAGTAGAGAAATTAGATCAACATTATTTCTTCATCGGCACTTGAGTATCGATCACACTTGAGCTTCCGGCGGGCATAATTTCATTTCGGTTCTTCTGAGAGTTAGTATACATATATATATATAGATAGATGGATATGGATGGATCACGAATTCTAGCATTTTTGGCCAACCCTGCAACCAAGTGTACCTGCAAAGCGTGTGAGCCTTGAAACGAATGTGCCTGGCTTCGCAGTCATCATGTCCAGCTTTCCAAATCCATGGTTCTTTTTAGCAACTCCAGATTCAACAAAGAAGGCTCCATTCAACATGAGATCTCCTTCTGATCTCCATTGCCAATTCTTCCACACACCCACCGGCGCATAGTCCCTCTTCGTCACCTATAACATCAAATTCATCAGTGACATATATTACTTCATTTTGCTCCTCCTCAAAACAAATGGAACAAATGGACCAAATGGAACAAATGGAACTTTGACACGTACCTCCTTTGCAGCGTGGTTTGGTGGGGCTATGAAACGGTTACCCTGGCTGATAATAGTTGGGTGTGAGCTACCTCCAATGGCATACATGAGCCAGTGTGTATAGTCATTGTTCACAACATGGATAAATCCCCATCTGCATCTTGGCATTCTCTGCACCAATCCCTTTCCAAAATGGTTGAACGCAACCGTAATTTGCATAATCGCATCCCCTGCAAACGAATCGCTCGCCCCAAACAGCAACACCTGCATCCACCATTATCATTAATAATTAAATTCACCTTGCATTCTCTATATATGATTATTTTTTTGGAGTGCCAATAAATAATAAATTGTGTCTTACGTCATTGTGACGGGTGAAGTGGCAGTTGGAGATGGTGACGGCCGTGGAGCCTTGGATGACGTCGATGAGCCCATCTGCGCAGTTCCACATAGACAGATGGTCGAGCCAAATGTGAGACGACCCAAAAATGGAAATCCCATCTCCATCACTCTGTGTTCTGGTCCCGAAGTGGTCCACAGAGTCCCTGATCGTGCCTCCGCTTCCCGGAACAATGTCGTGTATGTGGAGCCCATGGATGATGACATTCTGGACGAACTGGAGCGTGAGCCCAGCACCATGAGCAATGCGCACATTTGCTCCACGTGCGTCAATTGTCTTGTGGCTCGTCATTATGAGCTCCTGCGTCAACCTGATAGTCATGCTGCGTGCAAATATGATCCACAGCGGCTGCGGTTGAATGACGGCGTGGCGGAGAGTCCCGGGCTTGGGCTCGACCACGTTGCTGTCGGAAGGGTCGGTGACGACGTAGAATTCGCCTCTCTTGCCTCCACGTGTCCTGCGCCCGAAGCCCTTCACGCAGCTGGCCAACTTCTTCCGGTCGTTGGCCCAGTCCTTCCTGCATCGCCAGCAGCGGTCGATTGGGTTTGTGGCCTTGCAGGGCCCTTTGTATTTTTTCCCCAGTAGATGCCTCCCTGTGATGTTGCTTACCTGATCATCATCTTCAAAGTTTAAATCATCGACCCTGCATTGTCATGCATGATCACGTTAACATCGATATTGGACACAGAAGATTCGAACACAGAAACTCGGGTGCATGGTACTTGTAGACGTTAACATATATAAGTTAAAATTAATGGTACAAATAGTTTTATATATAAGATACAAAATTGATGATAATAATAATAAAATGGAGATGGTGGATGATAATGAATTGACTTACTCTTGAACACTTTCGTTGAAGTCGTCGGTAACTTTTCAGGGTTGCGTTGATAGGCCTTGAGGGCAGTTTTCTCAGCTTTCAGCTCTCGTTCCTTCCAGACAGCATCAAACTGACCAACGTTGCTGTCGTTAGCAATGGATGCTCTCAGGCTTGGAACCAGTATGCAGAAAGAAATCATGAAAAGGACTAAATCTAGCTTCGACGCCATTGGTCCAAGTATAATTTGGCCCTTTTTTTTTCTTTTCAACTTTTTTTTTATCTAATTTTTTTCTTTTATCTAATTTTCTTAGATATGGTCAAGGTCTATGTGATTGAGCCCAGCTGTGCACCGGGGTCTCAGATTCAGCCCAGCCAGACCTTGCCAAACTAAAAATAGGTTGAAACCGAGGCTAAACTGCTAAGTACTTGCAATACTATGTATTGCTTATTGCTTGGTTTGAGCAGAATGAAAATTTGGAGTTTTATAATGCAACCAGTGTCTAAATTTAGGAGGGCGCAGAAGATGGGGAACCATCTTCTTTCAACCAATGACGTTTTGACTAATTGAACTGGTTTGAGCTCATCATGGTAACAGAATCAGTAGTTTAATAATCAACCACAGTCAAGTATTAATTAGCATGTCCTTAATTAAGTAATTATGGGTTATAATTGCTTTTTTAGTTATAACCATTCTTTTTGTGTAGCTCATCCTATCCACAAAACACTAAAACATATTTACCAATTCTTGAGTTAAATTAGAAAATAGTTGGTTTGTTTTCAGCTACATGGTCAAAAGAATTTGAGTAGACCAATTTGCTGATGTGAAATTGGGCAACCTTTCTGAGAAAGATAACTTTGGCTTGGGCTCTGCTTCACCTTTTCATTTTCTAGTGCAAGATAAAGCAAAGGAAACTTAGCTTAGAATTACACATATGAGAATAGAGATTTGAAAAAGGTTTTCCAATCAGGAATTTGGTCTTGGTCTAGGTCAAATCTGTCTGACCATGTGGCTAAAACAAATGCAGTTTAATAATTAATTGCCTTTTCTAACCTACACAGAAAGAGCATATTAGACATTCCTTCCTTCAATGAACAGAACATTGATGGGGTACTCCAATTTATTCCTTGGCTACCCTTCATCACATTCAATTGCAAATTGCACTTTCATTAGTCAGTGTATGCTAACAGAGAATCTTAGATGCGCTAAATTAGGGCTCGTTTGGGAATGATTCTAGATAGGCCAATAATCACTTTAAGTGATTATATATGGAGAATGATATCACGTGGGAGGTACTTCTCCCTATAAGTGATTTTGGCATATCCAGAATCACTCCCAAACGAACCCAAAGAAGCACTTTAAGAAGAAAGAAAAAAAAAGGATCATATATTTCATTTCCACTGAAAACCAAAACCACAAAAAGCTGCATATTTGTATAATTATATAAATTTGAGGGCTGCATAAGGTTTTGTTTGCAGACACCAGCACCAGGATATATGCTAGCTGTTGCCACAATATGCTGCAGGAAGGAATATGTTAATGCACTACAGCAGAGATATATTAATATTCACCTAACTTTTCAGATGTATAAAGTTTTTCCATTGTGCATTCATGTGATGATCTCTGATGATAACAATAGATCGAACAAACAGGAACTCAATATTCAAAGACAAGTTGAAGAAAGAGATATTATCACATCATTTCTAGAAAACAAAATTTCCCATTTTAAAAAGCAAATTCCCCCACGACACTTATTCTAACACTTTTGACCATATTTAGCTAAAATTCTTCCTTCAAACTGTTAAACTCAGCGGTTCAATTACTTCCCTTGCAATTCACTCCTTTATTCTTCCTTCCTACAGTTGAAAACTCTCCAAAGTAAACCAGCCATACTCATAATTTACAACCATTGGGGTACCCTTTCGGCTCAAAATCATGAAGAAATAAAATCATGGCAAATAAAATCCCTTTCGGCTCTGTAAAATAGCGAAAAACTATAAACTCAAAAGGAAAAATCACACCCAGAAAAGGGTTCAGAGCTGCCATGTCATCCTAGCTATATAGCTCTACTTTGCCTAAAGGACATGGCCACAAGAAATTAAACTGGAATCTACCTTTTGTATTTGATGACAAAAATACCCTGACTTTTCATTTAAGATTAATCTTCTTATAATCACAGACTGACCTTGTCTATTGTTTATATAGTTAGTTAAAACTTAAGCATCACACAAGGGAATAAAGCATGCACCAAAAGTTAATTATTGTACATTAGCATGTTGGCAATGTTTTCTTTTAACTGCTAGATAAAATAGAAAGGCAATAATCATGTTTTCACCCTGAGACAAACAATCAGTGTCTAAGGTCATTCTGGGGATTAAATAAAACTTTAATAAAGATTCTACAGAAACAAGCATTCTCTCCTTAACTTTTCATATCTGACAAAGCAACAAACAAGCACCACAAAGGGTTTTCTTGTGTTTTTGTTTTTTTTGTTTATAAGCAGCATATGAAGAGTTCATCACCAAGAATGGAGAAACAGTTTTAGATATTTTCGATTCTTCAGCCGCTAGAGCCACCATGATTTCTCTAGCTGATGTCTATCATGTTGTGGCAGCCACTGTCCCTCTATATGTTGCCATGATTTTAGCCTATGTATCTGTGAAATGGTGGAAGCTCTTCACACCAGATCAATGTTCTGGCATAAACAAGTTTGTGGCAAAATTCTCAATCCCTCTCTTGTCATTTCAAGTGATTTCTGGGAATAACCCCTACAAAATGAACCTCAAACTCATTCTCTCTGACTGCCTACAAAAACTAATTGCTTTTCTAGCATTGACAGCAATCACTAAATTCAGCTCCCATGGAGGCTTGAATTCGATCATAACCGGTCTCTCTCTGTCAACTATGCCTAACACATTAATCTTGGGAATTCCTCTGTTAAAGGCCATGTATGGGGATGAAGCAGCCATGCTTGTTACTCAGATAGTTGTGTTACAGAGCTTAATCTGGTACAATATGTTATTGTTTCTCTTTGAGTTCAGGGCTGCTAAGGCAGCTTCTGTGACACCTTCATCAGAATCCACTGCAGGTTAGCATTCAAAGATTGCATTTTAAATTAATAGTATGACAAAAAAGCATCACAAATATCGTACACGTGCGGCTGCAACAGCACAAACCCCTCTTTTCCTGGATTGTAATCTGCACTCACTAAAACACAAATGGTTGAGTTGAGTCAGTTTCCATTTTGCTCCTCTAACTTCACTAACCTATTGTGACTCTTTTGGGGTCCTGAACCGAATTCAGATTTTTCTTGATTTCAACTGGAATCTTAGCATATATAATTAAGGTCTGAAATACTATTCTGATATCAACAAATATCAGAAGGTTTTTCCTATAAACTATAATGGCCACATTTATATGTGGAAGCTACACTTCATTCTCCCTAAGAATTCTGATTTCTAACATACAAAATGCATTACTTCTTAATATAAAATTATGTTGACATATTCTCACATCAGCAAAATTTTGGTCTGCTTTGTATTCAAAGAGGAGATGGAAGCCCCTCAAGAAGCACAATCCAAAGAGGAAGCAGAGGATGAAACAAGAAGCAGAACTCCTAAGAAAATCAAATCTATTCTCTTAACAGTTGGGAGGAAGCTCATAACCAACCCCAACACACATGCAACATTGTTGGGTCTAATTTGGGCAAGCATACACTACAAGTAGGTACCCATCATGAGGTTTATATGGGCAGCTAGGCATAACTTTCTTCACTTTTGATGGTTCATTTCTATGCATATTTGTTACTAAGAAGCAAGACCAATGTGTTCATTAATAATCCGTTGCAGGTGGGGGGTGAAACTGCCAGATATTGTCACACAATCAATTGCAATACTGTCAAATGGAGGACTTGGTATGGCAATGTTCAGCTTAGGTATGAAGTAATTCCTAATTACCTGCCATGATATTTGAAAAACAACCTTCAGATTTAGAATATGAATTAATTTGTGCTGCTTAATAGGCCTTTTCATGGCATCGCGTGGCAGCATAATAGCATGCGGGACACGAACGGGGATGCTAGCCATGGGATTGAAGTTCATAGCCGGGCCTGCGCTAATGGCAGTGTCCTCCTTTGCAGTTGGACTAAGAGGCAGAATTCTAAGAGTGGCAATTGTGCAGGTGCATATATATATATGGTTTTCTTTATAGTCTTTGGTAGACAGACACACAAGGCTGAATACTGTGTTGTTTGCTGCAGGCAGCTCTTCCTCAAGGAATCGTTCCATTCGTTTTCTCGAAAGAATACAATGTACATCCAGACATTTTGAGCACCGGGTAAGTTTTGATCTCGTTCATCATCTCATATTATAAAAGTCATGCATATGATATGACTCAACTGATCTGGTTCTGTTTTTTTGTTGCAGAGTTATATTTGGGATGCTCATTGCCTTGCCAATAGCATTGGCCTACTACTTCCTACTGGGACTATAAACTCTGCAGTTTCAGCATGAAGATAACAGATAACAGATTTGAGGAACCCCTATGAAATGGTGGTCAAATTGTTGAGGGTAGATTATGGGAGGAGGATCATTTAATTTATTTAGAATTTGTTTGACATGTAATATGGCTGATATGTTTCCTATATGTATTTATATATAAAATATTATATACATGAGTGTATTTATTTTAAAAAAACTAACAAAGTAAATGCTTGAATAGTGAAATTAGAGGCATGTAATTCAGATTGTTCATTCAAGATGTAACAGAAAAATAATAATATTTCAAGATTTAATTATAAAAAACTCTAGAATTTTCGCAATATCAGTCCAATCTTCTAGAACCTACAAACTTGTGCTGTCACTTTCACTGCCACCAACTTTTTATATTTTTATTTTATATAATTGTTGTGATAGTTACAAATTCACAATCATTTGGCAATATATTGACCCCAAAAAAAAACAATCAATTAATTTCAAAGTCCTTTACTTTTGGGAAAAGAATAAGAGGCTAATTTGGTAAAATGAACCAAGTAAAATTAGCTTGGCCGAAACGCCAAGCATCACGTGTATTAATCTATAAAAAAAACCAAAAAAATGAAAATGAAAATAGAAAATCAACGGTAACAAGAGCGAGATCCGACGGCCCACGTGTAATTGAGAAATAAAAAAGGAAATGAAAAACTCGCCGAAAAGAAAGGTGAAATTGAAATTGGTGTGATTTAGGGTTTTTGGTCCCCTTATATATCGCCCATCTCTGTGTTCGTTTCTCACTTCCGCTTCTCAGCGCTACAGGGAAAGCTAATCCCTTCGCGTTTTCATTGTTTGCTCTTTCAATCTTTGCTGGGCAAAATGGTCGGTCCTGGTCTTTACACTGACATCGGCAAGAAAGCCAGAGGTCTCCCTTTTTCAATATATATATAAAAATTTTGTTGTTGAATTTTTTGATTGATGGGTTTTTGTTAAAACTTCTTTTATGTTATTGTTGGTGTGGCAGATCTTCTGTACAAGGATTACCAGAGCGACCATAAGTTCACCGTCACTACCTACTCTCCCACCGGAGTGGTCAGTTCATTCCCTCTCTTTTTACTCTGAGATCTGTATTTGTCTATGTATATTCACTTGTTCAAGCTCTAGGGTTTCGTTTCTCGTGTGTATTTTAGCTCTTCTTCATAATTTTAGTCCATGAGATTGGACTTGCGGAGGAACCATTGGGCTCCAAGCGAAACCTCTAACAATAGGGTTCAGTTTCTGTTTAGTACTTTATCTGGGTAAATTTAAATTTTCCTCTTTTTAAAAAAAAAAAAAAAAAAAAAAAAATGTATTTGGGAAAGGTCTTGGTGACATTTAAGCAATAAGTGTTACTTATTGTTTTGTTGCAGTTTATATATCGAAATGTCCATGAGTATACCTGGCATGCTATTCTTCTCAGTTATTTTGAATTTGACTCTGATCTTTTGGGGTTTTAACAATGTCATGTGTGGTAATTCTACTGCCTGTTTTGTCAGTTTAGGGCTTGTAATAGAACTTTTTGTCTTGCTTAGCTAGACTTTGTTGAATTTAAACAATCTAAGTGAAATTGCTCACCAAAACTCAATGTAGCAGCACTGAGCTTGCAACTGTTTAATTTGAGGCACCGTATAATTTCCCCTTTGTGTAACCATTATATGCTCTAAATTGACAATGTATTACCGCTTCATATCTGCAGGCTATCACATCCTCAGGAACAAAGAAAGGTGAGCTGTTTCTGGCTGATGTTAACACCCAGTTGAAGAACAAGAATGTCACAACTGATATCAAAGTTGACACCGACTCGAATGTAATTGCTACTTCCATTTTTTTTCTTCCATATCACTCTTTTTTGCTCATACCCAGCTCCCATTTAATGTGTTGTGATACATTAAACAAATGCTGGTTCTGGATATTATCTTGTTTTAGTCACCTCTTTAAGGTTGTTAATATATGTAACTGGGTTTTTTTTTCATTTTTTTTTGTTTTGTGTTGATCCTTCTCTATCCAGTAGAATGATTGTTGGGCTATAAAGGAATTGATCAACTCTAGTACATTTTCTTAGCTATGATCATCATTTTATTGCTTTGATCAGTTTACCAAAGGTTTGTTCTGTTATCAGCTTTCCACCACTGTTACGGTTGATCAACCTGCTCCTGGATTGAAGGCAATCTTTAGCTTCAAAGTTCCCGACCAGAGGTCTGGAAAGGTAGGAAGGTTTTCATTTGTGTCATGCTGCTAAATTAAAATTTCATTCCTTGTCTTTTAAGTTGGAGAATATGCAGTAGAAAATGTTGGTGGATGCCGTTTCCTCTGATTATTGGAGGATTTCATTTATCAGGATCAGTTGTAAAATTGGTATCTAATTTGTGAGTGATTGTTAACAGGTGGAACTCCAGTATTTGCATGACTATGCAGGGATAAGCACCAGCGTTGGGTTGACAGCAAACCCTATTGTTAACTTTTCTGGTGTCATAGGAACTAATCAACTTGCACTTGGTACTGATCTGTCATTTGACACCAAGACAGGGAACTTGACTAAATGCAATGCTGGAGTGAGCTTCTCCAATGCAGACCTAATCGCTGCACTGACCCTGTAAGTATATTCTTTTGCTTGTCGAAGAGGGCTTATTGATTTTACGTACATTTGCCTTGTTGTCATCAGACATAAGAGCCTCAATCTTCAATCTCTATAATTATTTCTTAAATGCATTATATCAGATGTACTCAGTTTGGTGCTGTTTTGGCTTACGTCTTGGATTGTTGGCGCATTGTGTGATACATATATTTTTTTTTTCATGGTACAGGAATGATAAAGGTGACATCCTCAGTGCATCCTACTATCACAATGTCAATCCCCTTGCTAACACAGCTGTTGGTGCTGAGGTGACCCATAGATTTCCTACCAATGAGAATACCATTACTCTTGGCACCCAGCATGCCCTGGATCCATTGACGACTTTAAAGGCACGAGTGAACAATTTTGGCAAGGCAAGTGCCCTTATCCAGCATGAGTGGCGTCCAAAATCATTTGTCACTATTTCAGGAGAGGTAGACACCAAAGCCATTGAGAAGACCGCCAAGATTGGGTTGGCTCTTGCTCTCAAGCCATGAGTGAGCTTATTGCCCACTGTTGCAGGGAGCAGGGGGTAGAGGGATAGTATAGTTTTCTTTCCAGCCCGACTTTATTTTGGTTCCAAATGTTGGTTTTTCTTGAAACAAGTCCATATGTTAGGGGAATCATTCCATTTTGGCGGTTTTGGTTTGTAAAAATAAAAATTTGATGGTATCAGACGTATTTTGTTACGTTTCTTAATTGCTGTTAACAGACAGAGGATGATGAAGCCTGTTAGTGGAGAGGTAGACTTTTAACTTTGTTCCCCATTTTGGTGGGTGTTTCATTAATCTTTTTCTTTTCCTCCCATAATTGATCTTGCAGCTTTGTTTTGCATCTGTCATTTTACTGGTGCACCTAGTTTTTAAATTGGAAACGGCTCGTATTATTGGGCTACTGATGCGTGTTTGTGAATTAGGAACATTTGGAATGTGTCTGTTTTATTCTGTGATGATTTTAGGACAGTAGATAGGTGGTGTCCAATCAGGGATAAGGTGGGCAAGCAATTGGTTGTGGTGAGCCGTTTTTTACTTTAATTAGTGGAACAAATCAGAATATGGGGACAAATTGTTCGATGGAGATGGTTGATTGTGAACAATTCGAAGTGCAACATCTCTCTGTGGAGAAACTCTCATGCAAGCACATTTTGCTATTCCCAGTCAATAACGCAATGACAAGTAGGATATCTTTTCCATGTGTCATTGTGTTATTAGTCGAGGATAGTAAAACAGTGTTATTCCAGTTATAAGTTTTTGGCCTTTAGCAGTGGATAGAAAATTGAGAGCTAATTACACCTTAGCAGGAAAATATTTTACATCAAAAAACTAAAAACTCCGGTGCTGTTTGATGCAAAGCAACTTCCTTTTCATCCGAGTGCAGGAAACAGATGAGATTTAAGATGAAAACAGATTAAATAACAGGCTAATTCAAAGCAGCATATATTTTACTTTAGAGTGGTATATCCTCCAACCGCATCTAGTACATAATGTAACCATTAATTGTGTTCTATCACCAAGAGGAGAAAACCATAACAAAGTTTTGCACATGAGTGGCGGTGAACAACCTATTCTTCAATACTAAATTTTTTGCATATAAGAAGTTTCAAGTATCCCTTCTACTCCTTAGCATAATCAGCTTGAAGGAGACCCTCCCGAATCTGTGAAGCAACATCCCTCACCGCACCTGGCCTGTGCGGGATGAAAACAGACGAGGACTTTGAGGATGCTCCGATCTCCTTCATGGTGTCAAAGTATTGAGTCACCAGCACCATGTCCATGACATCCTTGGCTGATGTTCCAGGAACATTCTCAGAGAAGACAAGAACACTATCCCTCAGCCCATCAACAATAGCCTGGCGCTGGCGGGCCATGCCAAGCCCTGCCAAGTACTTGGACTCTGCCTCTCCTTCAGCTCGCTTGATCTGCAGTATCTTCTCGGCTTCAGCCTTTTCTTTTGCTGCCAACCTGTGTCTTGCAGCTGTTGTGACACATAGAGAAACACATAAACTGAGCAATTACCTACTTACAGATTGAAATTTCAGAACAATGTGTCTTGACATTTTTTGTTCCTGTATGTATTCGTAACAAATTACTAATAAGAGAGGCAAAAGTAATTAGTCAAATGCTGCAAGTACATATATACATGTAAGTTCAAGTTACCTGCATTGATCTCATTCATTGCTCTCTTCACATGAACATCAGGCACAATATCCACAATAAGGGTCTGGACTATTTCATAACCATAAGTAGACATCGCCTGTAACGAAACTGGTTACATTGTCGGTTCTCAAACTATGTCGTGCAAAGATATAACCCTTTTATTTAGTTAAATAATTGTGTCAATCTGGTATTAAAAATAATAATAATTGTGCCACCTTTGCAAGCTCCTCTTCAACAGCTTTTGCTATGTCGCTCTTCTGCTCAAAGACAGCATCCAACTCCAGTTTGGGTACACTTGCCCTGATAACTGAAGAACAGAAAAATGTTAGCTGCTAATCAACTTGTACAAGCAACAATGCCTACCAATCACATTATCTTCCAACACTTACCATCAAACACATAGGCCTGAATCTGTGAGTTGGCATTAGAGAGCTTATAGAAAGCATCCGCTATCTTTTCCGGTAAGGCACGATACTGAATAGATGCAACCACATTGACAAACACATTGTCCTGAAAACCCCATTGTTAAATGCAGAAATTTGTTCAAGACAATAACACATTTCACAGCTTGACATAAACACAATGAATTTCACAAGGCATATCCTTGAGGGAAAGTAAAGAAAAGGCTAAAGAATCTGAAAAAAACCTTGGTCTTGGTTTCACATCGAACTTCAAGTTGGCGCACACGCAGTGATAGCTCACCGGCTATCTTGTACCCGAAACACCAGGGCAAGCAGTGACATCCTGGTTCAAGCACATTATCAAACTTCCCAAATTGTTCCCTCACAGCAACTTTTGACTGGTTCACTTGAATGCAACCAAGTACTTGGCCCATTTTTCAGTTCTGCAACTAGTAATATGTATAATAAAACAGTGTATGAGAGTGGGAGACAAATTTCTTTGCATTACAGCAAGAAAATCACCATCCATGGCATAAAGATCCTTCTTTTATCCAAAAACATAAATTCAGAATGAGACACAAGAAAATATAAAGCATTTAAAGCATAGATCTAACGAAAATGAATAACCAAAGAATAAACAAAAATAAAACAGAAAATATCAGACTCAATATTACATAATTCTTTTATTTTCCTTTGTTTTCTCAGCAACCAAACGGAAATCTCACGTCAACTAAATGCACTTATTTCAGACTAATTCTGGTATTGGCTTTCTTTTTTCTTCCCCCTCTTTTGTTTCCTCTCAGAAAAAAAAAAGAGCAAACAATATCAATTAGCACTCGAAGAGAGTCAGAGTGTGAAGTACGAACGGACTCGAAGAGACTTCTTTTTCGTTTTCCATTTCAAAAATTTTCTGAGCAACCAAACGAGAGAAACAGAGTTCAAGTTGTACGGTCATCCCTCACCTTTGAATTTCTTGCTGGAAGCCACCGGTATAACTCTTTCTAGTACTCTACGGATATGAGTAGAAAGTCAATATTACCCCTATTCTGTTTCATTTCCCTTTCATGTTAATAATTATAATAATAATAATAGGAAAGTATACTTTGTCCATTTTCATTAATTTATTAGTTTCCTTTACTTGCAATTTTCCATGTGACAAGGAGGAATGTCATTTTGATAATGTTTTAATGACGACTGAGATAAAAGATAAGGCTTCAACTCAATCTGATAGAGCAGACCATACAGGATAATTCAATTTTGAGCTTTTATGGTTAATGCCAAACACATGTTTTCAATTTTTCGGAAGAAATAAGGTCGAAATTTCGTTTCATTTTTTATAAATTTTGATGGTGTTTGTTTGTTTCTGACTATATAATATATCAAAGGGTAGAAAGAACTAATAATTAATTCATTAATGATAGTGATGTAAAACAATGTTCCAAAAATAGAGGCAAGTAATGGGGGTTGGTGGGGTAGAATAACTTGTGTAATTGGGATGCTAATAAATTTTCATTAAAGAAGAGGTTATTTCGTTTTGGATGAGAAAAGTGGCCTCCTAATTAAATATTATTCAAAGATGTAATCAAAAGGGGATGTGTGTGTTAATATATGCTTTCCGTTTGTTTTTGGATTTGAACATTTGCCTTTTTCTTTTCCATTCAACAAAAGGCCAAATCAGTCAGCGATCTAGCTCAATGAAAAATGGCTTTAACTTGCAAATCAGTGGTATCAGGTTCGAACTCCCATGACACCTCTCTTTGAAAATAGCTTTAACTTGCAGACTAGTGGTCTCAAGTTCGAAGTCCCATGACACTTCTCTTTATTCAAATTAGCGTGTGAGAAAACCTCTCTTTGCTCAAATTAGAAGGAAGGTCTGCATGCACCATGTGTCTTTGTCCACATTACATTTTGCCACAAGTTGATTAAAGCGACATAAGAAGTTGCAATATAAGGAAAACCGTCGATTAGCATCAGTAGGTGAATGGGGCTTCATTAAATTTACATCCCTCACCCAATTTCACATACAACTAGAGACAATGGCAAATATTATCTACCCCAAGTTTAAGGTTTTGACAAACTTTGGAGGTTGATAAATTACCAAGCCTGAGCATACACGCAAAAGAAAATTTGCTCTATCATTTTACAGGAACAGTGAGATGGGGGCAGAGAAAGCAATATAACTCTTCAAGAAGGAGAATGAAATGATTCTTTCGTGCTATAATTGAAAGAACAATCTGAAGATGGTACAATATGAGAGTTGTGTCTAAGATAATAAGCATACAGATAAATCGACGTAATCATCCTTTGGAGTTAGGTTTAGGTGATTTGTGAGGATAATATGGGGAAGCAGGAGGACCATTTGGACTTGACAAGCTTCTTACGGGGTGTCCGTTCCTTGGTACAAATACTGCCTGCGTTCTAATGCCATTCTTAGCATTTGAGGTGGACCTGGAACGAGCTGCTTGCATGGTTTGGAAGTGATAGGAAGAACTGGCCATATCCTTGAGGTTTGGTAGAGGCTTTAGGGCTTCAACAACTTCACTCATCATTGGTCTAGCTTTTGGGTCACGGCTGAGGCAGTGGGCGGCCAGCTGGATAGCTTTTTGCGCACCTTTGATCGAAAAATGACCTTCAAGCCGGGGGTCAATTAACTGGAATAACCTCCTCTTGTCTCCAAAAAGTTGTCTCGCCCATTCCACAAGATTGTGCTCCCCATTGGGTCTATTTTTATCCATGGATCTTCTGCCATTTAGCATTTCGAGTAGGACAACTCCAAAACTATAGACATCACTCTTTGATGTCAGATGTCCTAAATCAAAAGGCCATGTTAGAATTAAGTAATTCCAGCTCGTGATTAAGCATATGCTCCTTTTGGCCAATGCTCATGTATATAATAACTACAAGAACATAATAAAATTAGAAAAGCAGATGGCCTAAGTATGTGATCATTCATCTGAAGCAAAAGCCGGATAAAACACCAAGTACTGACATCTTAACCTATCTTTTTGCATATCTGACGGAGTTGCAATTTATAAGACTTTCTCCACCAAAAGAAAAAGAATTATAAAACTAAGCCTTCTATGTTCATTTTAAATGGGTTCAAAGAGGGAGGAGTCACGGTTTGGCACTCACTTGTCCAAGTTGTTTGACAGTTGAAAGAAAAAAGAGCTCAAACAAACATATTTTGTCTATCACCACTACTAGCTGGTAGTTCACATAATTGTGGTAAAAGTAGAGTTACAAAAGTATTGAATGCCAAACTCACCAGTCATCACATACTCTGGGGCTGCATAACCATAGGTTCCCATAACTCGTGTGGAAACATGAGTTTTATCACCCTCGGGACCATCTTTCGCAAGTCCAAAATCCGAAAGCTTGGCATTGTAATCCTAAATCAACATTTTCCATTTTCAGAATGGAATAGGAATGGAGAAAGAAAAGGAAGTAGTTGCTCAGTTACAGTCACTTACCGCATCTAAAAGAATATTAGATGTTTTAAAGTCACGGTATATGACTGGTCTTTGAACTTCTTCATGAAGAAAGGCCAGACCCTTTGCAGCACCGAGTGCAATTTTCATTCTAATAGACCATGGAAGAGGGAGGGATCCTGGTAGTTACCAAAAACAACATTAAGAAACACTAACAATACATGACAGAGCAAATTCAACAGCTAACTGTACCAAATGCATTTCACTGTGTTAGTACGTGCTTGCAAGAGGTAGTTTCAAATTTCAATATACATGCAGTCAAATTAAAGAATGTGAAAGGACCAGTTGCTTACTTCTGAAGAGGTGGTTTTCCAAACTTCCCCTTGGCAGAAACTCGTAAACCAACAACCTTTGGTCATCTTCGATGGAGTAACCAATTAACTTTACCAAATTAGGATGGATGAGATCACCAAGAAAATAAATTTCAGCCTGAAATACAAAGAAATGAACGATTATGTTACAAATTGAACAGCAAAGGAGACTAGCATGTAATCTACGAGTTTCATTAAGAACTAACTACAAACATAAAGTTGGAAGTAGAATATAGTAGAAAGAAGGAATGCAGAAGTCATACAAGCCATTCTTTGTGACCCTGAAGTCCATCATGGTTGAGAGTCTTAACTGCAACCGTAAGCCCAGTACCGGGTTTCACAGGAGCAGTTCCATTTTCCTCGACCCAACCTTTGAACACACAGCCAAATCCACCCTCACCAAGAAGACTCTCAGGTCTGAAGTTTCTAGTGGCTTGCTTAAGTTCATTAAATGTGAATTTTCGGAGCTGAGAAGCAACCTTCAGTTCCTCACTGAAATAGGGTGTGGATGAAGTACTTCCACCATTACTAGTAGTTGTAGAGGATCCTCCACGAGTAAGTTCTCGATCTCTACTTTTCTCATTTGAAGATTTAGTTTCCGCTGATTTACACAAGGTCCAATCCAACACACATAAGTGAATCAGTGAATGATGCATACAAGCAGCATGCACTTGAATGAACGATGTTGGTATTTGTCTTCCCCTGTTAGTTGGGAATTTCCTAATGAATGCCCGACACTAGAGATGCGAGTGTATAACTAAATTGCTATTCAATCAACCATATGTTCTAATAAAGTCAACTTGCAAAAACAGTAAATGATCATTGCATCAATAGTTGGTTGAACAAATAAATATACATCCGGCCTGCCTAAATCAGTTATCTGTCTCGTGAAGACTTTTTCGTTCCAATACTAACTAAATGCCCATGAAACAGTTCAGCTTCTGATAATTTACACGAAATTCATCACCTATATAAAATCATACAGTTTTAGAATGAAACGATTTGAAAAGGATTTAGCTTTGATAACATAAAACCTTCCCTTAACAAAATTGAAGAGCCTCTTACTTATTTCAGCTGATTTACCACCCCCAAAAAAAAAACAAAAAAAATCAATCCCCATCTCGAAATTAATGTTGCTTGACAAAAACTTGCCAAAAAAGAAAAAGGATAATAACGAATTACCAAAAGAAATAGTAGTTCCAGTCATGGCGCTATCAACTTTGGATCTTGAAGGCATGCAAGTCCCAAAACTGAACTTAACCCAACATCCAGTTTCCTCCACTGCCTCATCTTTCTTCTTCTTTCCCTTTGATTTGCTCCCATCCCAAGTCTTCACCTTGCTATCATTAAGGACCAATCCCATCTTCTTCTCAAGCTCCTTTAGATTCAGATTCTCATGTCTCAAAGACCAGAAATTTTCGCATAACACAGAGAACCCATTCCAACTCACCTGTCTTCAAACCAAAACCCACCAAAAACACTTGAAAAACTCTGAAGGTTCACAAAAATGCGACTTGTGAACAAGGATCGAACAGTTCTGTGTTCAATAACCGAAATTGAAGCACACCCAGTTGGTCAAAAAGGTCAAGAGAGTGACAGAGAGAGAAAGCCGGGGGGGGACAGAAGGCGTAGAAAGAGAGGCTGCTTAAGAAAGAGGGAAAGTTTTTCGCTAATGGGGCAGGTCGGGCGGTTTGAAAGAGAGCAGGCGGGCAGGTCGGGCATGAGAGAGAAAGGAGAAAGCCTTTCACACTGCTCTAGAACAGTAACTTTGGCATATTCCGAACATCAAATCAAAACTATGTGTACTTGAGACTATTTTTCTCACTTATTTTTTCTATCTTTCTACTTTTTTTTTTTTTTTTTTTTTTTTTTTTTTTTTTTTTTTTTTTTTTTTGGGATGAATCATGATTTCATGAACATCTTGACAAATCGGACGAGCACTGCACATTTTATGCAATAATGCAATTAGAGTCATACAGGTTCAGAATTTATTTGTTTATTTCAAGTTTTTTTATATTATAAATATTGTTGAATTGGAGTTTACATTACATAACAACTTGTCTAATTTAACATTATCTTAACAGACGATTATTAAGAAATTAATTTTGTCCCTGAATGGATATCAAATCAAATGTCTATCCAATCATCTTTAGACAACTTCAATAATAAATAAATAAATGGAGAATTAATGAAATCATCAATTCCTATCATATATTACTATCTTATTAGAGCATTTACAATAAGCTTTCTAAATCACCTCTTTAGACAAATTTTAGGGAGGAATTGTAAAAATGCAACTTCAACCACGCTCTTTATCTACCTCCTAAAATAGGGAGTCCTCTAGGAGCTCCTAAATCTGAGGAGAGATAAAGAACTCCAAGTGACTCCCTATAATTTAATACAGCTTTATTTAATGAGTATTTCAAATATTTATTTAATGCTAACTATTTTTTAATAAAGATGGACCAATCAAAAAAGAGTTATAACATTTATGACTCTCCAAATTATGGAGTACGGTTGGAGTTGAAATTTTTTAGAGAGCTCATAAAATAGCTTTCTTATATTTTTTAGCTAAATTTTAGCTAAGAAATAGAGAGTATCATTGTGGATGCTCTCTAAATATGATAAGAGAAAAAGAACTCCTAGTAGTTCCCTATAATTTAATACTGCTTTATTTAATGAGTATTTCAAATCTTTAATTAATGTTTATTATTTTTAATTAGTTTTCTACATTGATCTCATCTGCAATCTTCAACTACTAGTCATCTCCTTGCATATAATATCTTAAGTTCTCAACTCCCTTCATTTTTCTCCCCAATTCCCACAAATTTGCACATGCATCCTTCATACCATACCACATACAGCACTAATTCTTGTAATTGTTCAAGAGCATTTTCATTTTTTGTCCAAAATAGATTGCAATTTGAGACTTTTCGGTATTCAGTGTCCTACATATTTATGAACAATTCTGATTAATATTGGCAAGAAGCACGCAGTTTGCATTGAAATTTCACAAATTCCATTCAGTGTCCTACATATTTATGAACAATTCTGATTAATATTGGCAAGAAGCACGCAGTTGGCATTGAAATTTCACAAATTCCATTACTTCGTGCGAACGGTACGAAAGATGAGTACATCATTAACCCTAGAACATGCTCATCAGACCCTTTTTTTGGTTTCATCAACTAACTTTCCCTTGCTAGGTAGTTCACGCCTTACACTCTCCTTACATAAATCAGTAATTTACATTTCACCAGTAAGCCATACAATACAAGTCATAGTCAACCTGAACAAACTATTTGGGGATTTCAATCATCAACTTCATGTTTCAAGCCATGGCAAGTTTCCTGCAATCAAATATTTGCTTGGAAGATCCCCCGCAGATGGTGCAAGATATGTAATTGTCTTCCTGTAATGTCATATACTTGGTTAGCTCACACAAAACCAGAATACAAAAGGTGCTTCTAGGAAAGTTGTTATTGTAGCTCAGAATTCAAACCTGTGAAGATCAATGTCTGTGATATAAATAAACCCAGCAACATTACTGCAAAAAAGAAAAAGTGGTCAGTGCTAATTACTTAAAGACTCTATGGGTTATACTCTGTAATAAAACATGTCATGGTCAAATTCACATCCCTCAACTGAAGAACGAACATTGAATTCCTTGCCACATCTGCAAGAAGTACCATAATCTTTTTTCTGTTTTTTTTTAGCAAATAATTTTTCATACTTGTAACAGTTAGGGGGGTAAAAACGTCTACTATCCTATGTGAAGTTCAAATAATACTGAACAAAACTGATCAATGTTATACTTTACTCAAATCATTATCAATTTTCCATCAGATGGATTTCTATGAATTACCTAGAAATAATTTGATCAGGATCCTTGGCGAATGAAACAGCGAGAACCGTCTGGAGCAAATCCCTGTTAATATTCACAGGCACCAATCTTGTAGGATCTGCGGCAGGCTCTGCACCAATTGGCAAAGCTGAACGTGGGGCCTGTGGCCCACCACCAATTCGAAAGACAGATAAATCACTGAAATTTGCGATATTAGAATGCGGGCTCAGATCATTTGCAAGGCCATAAAAATATTCCTGTTAGAAATATCAGCACACATGAGCCTTCTCATGAGGAAGGGAAAATAACACAATAGCAACATATTTCTGAAACTTGGTTGCATAAAAATGCTATTCACCCTTATCCTATCTTTCTGGAACTTGGTTACATAAAAGATGATATTTACCCTTATCCTATGACTCCTGGATTTTTGACGGAATTTCGCATTCCTGGATACAACACCCCCTGATCTTTGAAGTTTAACAACGTCCACACCGGGCTTGTTCTTTAGTACATCTCTGAGCATGCTGCAAAGCTTTTCCTACATAGAATTTAAAAGAAACACATGTACTGTCATGGAAGCCAACATATAAAACCATTTTGTTAAAGCTATAAATGTTTTAGGAACAAGGATGTATTAAAAGTAAACCTGGATATGGAAACTTTGTGACAGAGTCAACCAACAAACAAAGAGGGAGGGGGGAAAAAGCAGAAAAGCTCACAGAATTCACTAAGATGTAATCAGGAATAGAAAAGAAACTCAAACATGAGGGATCTACCTGTCCCAAAACTAAGACAACATTGGCATCGAATGTATCAATTGCATGAAGAAGCAACTGCAAGGAAGATAGAAAAGAAGAGACTATCAAACACAGATTTCATATACAGGAGATTTATACAAGCGTTTCTAGATTAAATCAACAGTCATCCTGTAGTGCAAGCAGCCTATAAATTACCTCATAGCCTTGACCTTCTATCCATCCCATAGTGTTGATCACCATTCCAGCAGCTCGAGATTCAGCATTAGCAGAAAATTGTCTCTCTATCACTTGAGAAAGCTCCTTCACAAGTACTTTGTATAAATCTACATTGTTACTGTAAAAACAACGGATGTCTAAGGATGTAATAAGTAAAAACATTGACGAACAGATTCACTATTTAGTTAGAGTGAAAGAAATTGGTAATGGAAGATTTTTTCTTATGTATTCTAGGTATCAATACAAGATATGAAAACATAGGCCAAGAAATAACCATACAAAAAGATTACCTAGGAGTTGTGTGCCCATAGAAATAAACAAGGGGAATTTCAAGAGGAATTCCTTCAACCGGATCAATAGGCATTTCAATAGGAGTAGCAGCAATGCATCCGGGAATTGTTATAGCTCCTTGTCCAATATCCAAGTCGACAAAAGTAGGCTTCCATCCCTGCTTAGCTGCCCAACTAAGAAGCATTTTGGACAAGGTACTTTTCCCAGAATCTGTAGGTCCCACAACAATCACCCTCGGGCCCTGATCACAAAGAAGCTTATAAGCCACGAACACATATGCACATACCAAGGGTTACAACAATCCTTCGTAACATACACCAAAAGACATTTTTTTAATTAAATTGTCTTGCATTTCTATATAGTCTATACACTTATGCCATGAGTTCATTCCGATTATTCATAGAAAACTTGAGGTGTCAAACACTGAACTTTCAAATACCAATACTCAAGTTCACTAAAGAATGACACTGGTTGGGGCACAAATACAAATGACGAACATGTAGGCACCTGAGGCTGAGAAGAATTGGAGTCATCAGGCGGCGAGGCTTTAGCACGGTTTCTCCGTTCTTCCAGTACGGCATGCACATTTACATAACTGATGTTTGGGGTCTGAAAAATTAAAGATTGGAAACACCATCATTCTCTCATTCACATTCTGTATTTGTGACAGATATATTGGGGAGCAAAAACTAAAAAGCAAAAGCCTATGAAATTACCTCATCAGCGGTGTAATCGGTTTCCGTACTGCCGTCCATCTCAATTGTTGCTCCATACCAAGTAAAAACCTTTAACAATCAAAACCCATAACAGAATGCAATTAAAGACATGAACTTTCGTAACGTAAATTTCAAATGAAAACAAAAGGAAAGATGAAGAAGAAGGAAGAATGTTACAGCAAACTTGAGCCTGGGTGGGAAGGTGAGCCAGATTTCAGGGGGGAGCTCGGTGCCAAAGATCTCGGCTGTGCCATTGAGCAGCCGAAGCTTGAGAGGCGCGTCGTTGCCCACTTCGATTCTAAGTTCGCTCTCTCGTTCCAATTTCACCTGCTTTGCTCCACCTCCTTGCGCCATCTCCTTCTGCTAGCTTCACTCTCTTGGTATTCCGTATTTGGGGTTCACCAGAGCTAACAAGTTTTCAACTTTATACTCTCAGTAAGTTCCTTTCGTATTCCGGCTCATGCCTCAACGAAAAGGGCCCGTTGTTCGAAAGGTCTCAAAATTTAATACAAATTTATAAATAAACCCAATCATAGACATGTATTTATAAAAAAATCTAAGCATTATTTAAACATAGAAACACACCTAAAATCAACAATTGTATATTTTTTGGGTGTGTTTATAAATGAGTTTTGAGTGTGTGTAATGATGGGTTTTGGGTGTGTTTATAAAGTGTTTTGGGTGTTGGGTTTTTTTATAATTTCAACCTCCATTTTAGGTGTTTTAGTGAAACTCCCAAAATTTAATTAGTGCTTCAAAATAATTATTATGTATTTGCTTTTTGTCGCAAATGGTGAATGGTGACTTATATTTGTGAAATTATTACCTTTTCTTCTTAATTTTTTGTGATACTAATGGTGTTGTCGTTAGTTTCCATCAAATATTTTGTTCAATTGCTAACGTGGCACATGTGAGGAGCCCAGGGATGGCCCTGAGGGTGTGCAAGTGGTGCCACCGCACAGGGCCTCTGATTTTTGAGGGGCCCCGATTTTTTTTATGTGTATAATATATGTTTAACAAATGTTATATATATATATATATATATATATATACACCGAGTGAGCAAATTGTTGACACAAAGACGTTCCAAGCTGTGTTAGTTTGCAGGGTCTCAACTTCTATTCAGAGTGCGACTTCAAAACCCGCTTGTGTTAAAGGCTTGTCCGATGTCAACACCAACATTCAATATCGCAGCTACTTTCACAACCACAAACTGAAATAATAAATACCCAATCACAAGGAATTAGTTAGTAATTATGCTCAGATATTCAATTTTGCGAAAATAATGCATCCAACTAACTCAACCAAAATAATTGCATCGAATTAATGATGACAAAATAAATTAGGTGTTAAAAAATATTTAATATCTGAATATGATCTATGATGACAAAGACTCATCGTCACAATCATGGTGATTATTCAAACGGTGTAACATCCTTGACCTAATTTAATCGATTTAATCCAATTTAATTCTTTTGTGAAATTTCAAATTTGTCCTTGGGAGTAGGGGTACTTTGGTCACTTTAAGAAAAAAACATTTATTGTATGGCATTAGTCAGTAATTATGCTCAGATATTCAATTTTGTAAAAATAATGCATCCAACTAACTCAACCAAAATAATTGCATCGAATTAATGATCTTCTTGGAATATTTATACAAAATAAATTAGGTGTTAAAAAATATTTAATATATGAATATGATATATGATGACAAAGACTCATTGTCACAATCATGGTGATTATTCAAAAGGTGTAACATCCCTGACCCAGTTTAATCAATTTAATCCAATTTAATTATTTTGTGAAATTTCAATTTTGTCCTTGGGAGTAGGGGTACTTTGGTCACTTTAAGAAAAAAAACATTTATTGTATGGCATTAATGGTGTAAGTTGTGTTAGTTTATGTGAGGCCCCAATTTAAGGTTCGTATAGGGTCTTCAAAATCTCAAGACCGGCTCTGGAGGAGCCCACACCTCCAACCTAAAGGATCTGTTGTCCTCATTTGTATGTCCCTCAGTGTCCTTTTACTATATTATTGACACCTATATTTTGATTTAATAGATTATTTATTCAGATTTCATCATTTCGATTTTACCCTTCTCATTGGTTTTATTTTTTATAATAACCAAAATTGAATAAGGTAATCTGCCATCTCCAAATACCTTTGTCATGTTTCCAACTCATTTTACACTATGAAAGATCTCAAATCTCTCATTTCTTCCTCACCTACAAGCGTAGTTTGAAATATCGATGAAATATCGAGGATATTTCAGTTTTTTCGAATTACGGATATTTCGGAACATATCCATGTATATATCGTATAAATATCGACAATATTGACGATAAATAGGAAAATATCGATGTCGATAATTTCGCTCACACTTTAGCAATATTTTGTCAAAATATCATTGTAATATCTATAAAATATCAATGTAAAGGAAAAAAAGGAAAAAAAAACACAAAGGGGATTTGAACCCCTCCCATTTTACTCCTCCAACACCTTAACCACCATATATCACTTATGTTTTAGTGATAATATGCTAAAATATTTATATTTATATGGGTGACATGTTAACAATTACATGCAAAACTATTTTGGGGATTTATCATTTGATGAATACTCTTCACAATACACTTACTCTACATATAGAGATGATGAAGATAGTGAAAATTTTGAATCTCATAGTGTTGATGCCCAAAAAATCTACTGTTCGGCCCAAATAAATTATCAACCTAATGAAATACCTTACCGAGAAGAAACCCGATTTGGGCACGCGAAAGTTTGTCATATGCGCTTGCACACATGCCACGCCAAGTAAATAAGCAACACGCCACGCTACAAGCTTAAGTGGGCCTAAGCCACACAAGATGCCCGGGGCTTGCTTGAGTGTATTGTGGTATGGATGGCCATAAGTTATCATGAGGCCTATTGATGGGCCGAGAAATAAAGGTTTGAGGTTGCTTGGGAGCCTCGGAACCCAAGCCCATTTCTTAGGCCCAAACATGTGGGTGAGCACAAAAAGGGGAAATATATAAACCAAAATAACCCAACCAAAATAGCACAACCAAAATAGTTCATTAAACTTAACCAATATGGCCCAAAACTTGATGGGATCAGCCCATTTGTTTGGTAGGATGACTTGCCATCTTAAAAAGCCCATACAATTAGAGATGAGAAGTAACAAAAGCTTCAGCACCTTGCTGAAAAAATAGAAGCCACGAAGGGAGCAAGATGTCCACATATGCAGAGCTGCTGGAAGGCTCCAGCACATGGGAACAGGGGCGGAGCCACACTGGGACCAGTGTGGTCCCGGGCCCCCACTCAATTATTTTATATTTTAAAAGTAATATATTGTTATGTATTTCTATATGTATATTATTTCAAATACTTACGTTTTGATATGTACCCACATGTGTTGTGGTGGACCTATTAAAGCACAAGGAGGTACTTCAAATTACCCATTGCTCAGCTGGTGGTTGTTCCATTTTCAACATTTAAGTAAATGTCTTTGTCCATTTACTTTCATTTATTTTAATTTTACTCCATTTACTTAAGTTTACAATGTAAATAAGGAAGTATCCCCTATTTAGATTCAAATAAAAATACTAAAAAATAAAATTCCCACCCAATCAAAATATAAAAAATGGGTTTTAGTGCAAAATACGATTTAGGCTAAAAATGATGGCTCATTAAGTCAATATATACTTCATACTAAAATCCCATAAAATCAAGTTTTCTTATTTGATGTGTAAGGAATAAAAGCCGCCAAAAATTATCTTGAGAAAATGATTATTCCGAAAAATCATTTTTCATACTTAGTCAATATTTTTACATAAAACATTTTTTCATGTATGATATAAATGCATGAAGGGACCTAAGGTTTTTTTTTTAAGTTTGTGAAGTTTTGATTTTTTTTCTTTCTATTGGGTTTAATGGGGGAAAAAGCTTGAAAGATATTTGCTAAATCGTTACTCTTTGTCTATCTCTTGCAATTTTTCTTGCTTAGAATGTATTTATCTATCCCTTTGTCGAGGACTGATTGCAACTAATAAGCAATATAATTCTTGACATATGTAATATATATATACTATTTTTCGAATGTATTGTGAGTTCAATTTTTTTTTTTAATTCTTTATAATTTGTAAGAGACCCCCACACACATGAAATCCTGGCTTCGCCACTGCATGGGAAGAAACAAGTTCCAAGCACAAAACATCCGAAGAACCAAGGGATATTAGCGCACAAGCTGCCAGGAGAAGAGGCACCCTTCGAACCAGCACACATACCCAATTCTTTCCCTCATCAGACCTGGCCATGAAAGAAGGAAGGAAAGAAGGGAAGGAGATGGCTAAAAATGGGAGTTCTGAAGCAGCTGCGGGAAAAGAGCCTTGAGCTCCCAAAAATCCCTGATTTTGTGCAAATGGGCAGAGTGGATTTCACCAAAATAGGATGATTGAAGAGATTAGGGGAGAAAGGAAGGAAAAGACTTGGCCAAATTGGATAGAAACCATTAGGGTTTCTTGGAAAATGTCAGCTTACAGCGGCTATAAAAGGGGGCCTCTTCTACCCAACAAGAAACAACTACATCAGAGAGCAAGCTTCATCTCTTACTCCCAAAACCCAGCAATTTCGTGCTCAACCCATCATTTTCCCTTAGTTTTCCCTCTTGGCAAGCTGTTATGACACTTGACAGAGTCTCTGTCAAGCTGCCGAAAAAACACTCAAGCCACATTTTTCTCTCTTTTTCCTTATGCTCAACCAAACCTCTCTGCAAAATCATTTCTCTCTCCAACCTTAATACCCCATCTTTCCCCTAGGAACACTTAGTTTTCTCTTCAGTGCCAAACTCATGACAATTTTGCTCCCATGCCACAAGCTTCTCATGCCAAGCTAGAAAATTTATCTGTAAGCTATTGTTATTTTTGTTGGTGAAGGTAACCAAGGTGTTTCCTAAGGCCTTACTGTCCTTTCGAAGCATTCTTGGGGCTTGATCTTCGAACTCAGGCTCAAGGGGCAATTTCATCCATTTTTGCTATTTACGGCAGACCAAACCCGCAGTAGCTGCTGGAACGAAAAAGCCCTTACACATAGGAACTCTATGTGGTACTAAGTCATTCATGTATCTTACCATGCAATATATAAAGTATAAAATATTGTAGTAAATCATTATATATAAATGATTATGGTGTGTTTAATCTTTTTTTCATTAATTACTACATATTTTCTACACTCACAGTGTTTGCCAGCTTGCAGTATAATCAACTTAAATCAGTTAAATCCATCATGTAATGCATTTCCTTCTAATTTTTATTATTATAAACTAATAGATAATTGACTAAATAAACATTCTCCAAAGTTTCAATAAAAATTTCTAAGTGTTTCTTACAATTTCCATAGTTTTTATTCAATTGTTATCGATATCGATAATATCCCGATATTTCCATTGAAATTTCCATGTTTTTGGACTACCGATATTTTCGATATCATCGATATTTTAGACTATGCCTACAAGTGGCCGCCGTGCCTATTGCTCAACAATAAGGGCATTTTAGTAATCAAACTGGTTTCAATTTCGATTCATGGTAATTTAGTAAACAACTTATAAGGAATCAATATCACTCATACCCGAATTCCATATGATTTAGTAAACAACTTCAATAAAAATCCGGATTCAAACTTTCCTCAATTCAATTATTCCTCAATTCAATTTCTTCTCATCCGATTACATATTAATAAACATGCCATAAAGCAAATGCATATACAAAAGTAAAGAAGGGTATGTCCTAAATTTGATAAAGGATATTACTATTTTTGTTTCTCGAAAATTATATGTGATTCGAACCACTTGAAAATTATAACGAGTGAACTTAATGTCTTGAATAATTAATATAAAAGAGAAATGCAAACTGATTTCAAACTACGTTGATTTTATGAACCCTAGGATACCCTTTGTTGTTCTCGGCTAGGATCCCTTTGTAGAAAGGGTATTTGAGATTGTTCAAAAAAAAATAAAAATATTTAAGGTCAGACATATCCGCTAAACGCCAAAAGTAAGCATTCGTTTGGATGATTTTCCCGCAACTTTCTCGGCTGCTTTTGTAACTTTCTTGGCTGCTTCTGTGGTCTTTCAAAGAAAGCTGAAGGAAAAAGTTGCTCACTTTATATATTCAATTTCTTCAGCTTTTGAAGGAACTTCAGGGTAAATTCTAGGCACCTTCATAAATGGTTTATATAAAGACTTGAGAATTCTCTCAAGTCTCCCACACCTCATACCCTCAACCATCACAAGTTTTCCAAGTTCGTGCTTCTGCCACTATCACTGCAACTGCGATAACCAAAACTTGCCTGAATTGCAAAATGTTGCCAACTTATGATCAGAAGAAACCTACGAAAACAACTCTTCCTACTTTCAACACTCGCAACCCAGATGCTAGCCAAACAATAAACTTGACCCCATGCTTTGTTTTCTTCAACCTCACAATTTGTTCCCTTACAACGCTCTACCGGGCGTACGAGCACAGCGACTATCCAGTCGTGGCTTTCGTCGTGTTCGTCTACGTGTCGTATTTCGTGTTGGACAAGTGTCTAGCAGTGTACACTCAGTTGCCAAGAGGCGAGCAATCGGTGAAGAAAGAGTTGTTGAGGTTCACCCTTTGGGGGTTGTCAAGCGCCATCCTGTTCGGGTTTGCATATCAGTTTGGGACGTTTATGCACTTGTCTGCGGTTGTGCTCATGTATTGTATTGCCGTTTCCAGCAGTTTGCTGCTCTTCTATGCCTACTACATCGTTGATGACCAAAATCACAGCGGTTGCACTTTTTGCGCCACCATGCCTCCTCAGTCTTCTTGTCCTAACCAGGAAAAGAGTAACAATTCGGACAACGTCTAGCAAAAGACCTAAGTAATAATATTTTTTTTTGGCCATAAGAGCTAAGTAATAATATTTATTTGTTGTAAGCGTGGGTTAATGCATTTGAAAAAAGTATTCAATTTCCCTTATCATATATTAGAGTAATTTAGTATATCGGTATTGTTATAATATAAAAAACATCTTGTCTGTCTAATTATAATTATAATTAAATTGCAATTCAATCAAATTATACATTTTGAGCAACATCTCTCATGTCAATTGTGTAAATTGGAGAGAAAACTTGACAGCCTAATTAATTAGGCAATTGAAATAAAATCAAAAAGTGGAGATGCGGGGTATCGATCCCCGTACCTCTCGCATGCTAAGCGAGCGCTCTACCATCTGAGCTACATCCCCCTTCTGGTCTTAAGGTTGTGTGCTAAATATTTACCTCGTATTATCATGATTGTCAGACTGGTTAGCTTTGTTCAAAATGAACATTTTCACGCCTGTTCTGAAGAGATCAGCGTTCCAAAATGTTGAGACGATTTCTGCTACAAGCTTCTGCTACTCGTCGTCTTCCCAATGGATATTTTGTTCCGCCGTATTCAGCTCCTTTGTTTCACAATCGTTCAGTTTCTTCTTCAACTTCTTATTCTTCTTCATCCCAAATCCCACAGAGTCCTTTCGTCGAACACGCGGAGAACGACCCTGACCAAACCACTACTCAACCCACTACCTCTATTACCATTGACCGCTCCGGCCTATACAACCCACCTGGTAACCTCCACTTCCCCTTTTTTTATACTCATCCGTAATTAGCTTTCGATAATGGTTATTTATTTATTTATTTAAATTTCATGGCAGAGCATTCTCATGAACCTTCTTCGGACTCTGAGCTCGTCAAGCACCTCAAAGGCATCATCAAGGTTTCTTCTTTTCGTTTCTTTTTTCAATTTGTATAACAGTAAATGTTGCTATCGGAGTGACAATGTGTTGCGAATGTGCTTTCTTGGTCAGTTCCGTGGTGGCCCAATCTCAGTTGCTGAGTATATGGAGGAAGTTCTGACAAACCCAAAAGCTGGGTTCTACATGAATCGAGATGTGTTTGGAGCAGGAGGTGATTTTATAACCTCTCCGGAAGTGAGCCAGATGTTTGGGGAGGTAAATTTTCTCCTTGTTGGGTTCTCAATTGCTCACATAGTCAATTAGTTCATTGAATTCAATTGGCATTTTCTTTAGGAATTTGATTTTTGAAGAGAAACTGATTTGTCATTCTCTCTGCTTATTTGAATTTAGATGGTTGGTGTTTGGGCCATGTCTCTCTGGGAGCAAATGGGACAGCCTGCTAGAGTGAACCTAGTTGAGCTAGGCCCTGGAAGAGGAACTCTCATGGCTGACCTTCTTCGTGTATGAACTGGCTCCACTCATTTGAATTTCTGGTTTAATGTTGTAGAAATGGAACTACAGTAACATTATTTACTTTATTTGTTGTGTAGGGTGCATCAAAATTCAAGAACTTCACCGAATCCTTGCATGTACACATGGTAGAATGCAGTCCTGCGTTGCAGAAGCTTCAGCACCAGAAGCTGGAATGTGTAGATGAAGATGTAACGGCTGGCAAAAGGACTGTAAGCATGTTGGCTAAAACTCCTGTATCATGGCATGCCACATTGGAGCAGGTTCCTTCAGGAGGTATGTAGTTATGTTCTTATTGGTATTTCAAGAAAGACGAGCTTATTTGTCTGTGTGTGTATTAGCAATTGAATGACTTTAAATTTGTGCTTGTGCAACAACACTTCTTTACAGAGTTTATTTATGCATTCGTAAGTGAAGCTTTTGTTTACTTTTGATAAGATTATCATGAGAAGCAAAAAGGACGTGTACTAGATTCTCTTTGACTACTAATTTTCTTAATTGTCATGCCAGTGCCATCTATCATCATAGCGCACGAGTTCTATGATGCTTTACCAGTTCATCAATTTCAGGTTTTTTTGATCCATTTCTGACCAATATTTCCAAATGCTCATTCCATGAGTATTCTCTTATTCTTTTAATCAAATTTCTTAATATTTTTCTTCAGAGGGCATCTCGTGGCTGGTGTGAGAAAATGGTTGATGTTGCAGAAGATTCAACGTAAGGATGTAATACGAAGTCTGACAGAATTTGTATATTTGGCAGATGTAACAATTGGGTTACTTGATTGATACTCATAAAATATTGTTTAGGTTTCGCTTTGTTCTGTCTTCACAGCCTACACCAGCAACTCTCTATCTAGCAAAACGCTGCAAGTGGGCTGGAAATGAAGAAATAGCAAAGCTTGGTCATATTGAGGTTTGCCCCAAAGCAATGGAGTTGACTGAAACTATTGTTGAAAGAATTGCTTCAGACGGTGGTGGAGCTCTTATAATTGATTATGGCCAAAATGGAGTAGTCTCAGATAGTCTGCAGGTCTGTTGCCTTGCCGTTGCTAGTTTTGGTAGTCTTTCACTATTCAAGCGATGCAAACTGCTGGTTTTATTTATAACTTTTCCAAAATTTAATTTGTTGCAGGCAATTCGGAAACATAAATTTGTCAACATTCTGGATGATCCAGGGTCTGCCGATCTCAGTACATATGTTGATTTTGCTTCCATCAGGCACTCTGCTGAGGAAGTTTCAGGTGCGCCATCTCATCACAGTGAATCCTTTACCATTATATTTCCATGGATTAGGTTAAAGTAAAGGTTGGAGATATATATTTTATGACATTGTAATATTTATACAGGAGAGGTTTCTGTACATGGTCCAATCACTCAGTCTCAGTTTCTTGGTGCTCTTGGGATAAATTTCCGAGTGGAAGCATTGACACAGAACTGCACAGAAGAACAATTTGAGTCTCTAAGGAATGGATATTGGCAACTGGTTGGCGAAGGCGAGGCCCCCTTCTGGGAGGGGCCTGATGATAAGGTCCCCATTGGAATGGGTACTCGGTATCTGGCAATGGCCATTGTCAACAAGAAACAAGGTGTTCCAGTTCCATTTGAGTGAATCTGAGAAAAGAAAAATGTAGCATTTTTCGATGAAATTAATTGCGTGTAGTGTACATTAGTAAATTTAGGAATGGACTGAACCAACTTCATGGTTGAGGTTCTTTCAGATTTTGGTTTGCAAATTAAATTGCATTTTTGTAATGTGTCAAATAATATAGATAGGAATTTTAATGAATTCCTTGCCTCATGTCCAACTGTAACTGTATGGACTTGATGAGTTAATTATATTTAAATGAGAATGGGAAACTCTCTAAGACAAGTTTGTAAATGTTGAACATGAACAAACACATCCAATGGATTCATGAAGAAGTTGCTACTGCCTACTGGGAGTGTTCGAATGGGAGCATGTGGCAGCCAAAACGACAGGTCGTTTTGCCATCTGAGCTATCCCACCAAAGTGGGTCCCACTCTAAATTGTGGTAGCAGTTCATTGTAAGAAGCATCGAAGGAATCGCTGAGACAAACAAAACCAAAGAAAGAAAGAAAACTGTTGAATTAGTTGGTCTTGGTAGAGCGATCGGTTAGTAAGCAGAGAGAGACCAGAGAGAGAGAGAGAGAGTCAAAGAGAGAATGGGGTCGTTTCTGTCAAACCTACTTGGAGGACCGCCGGCGGACGACTCAGCCGCGTCATCGGAGGAGTCTCGGGTGACGTCGTTTCACTCATCCGCCAGATGGCAGCTTCACTTCAATTCCCACAAGGAATCTTCCCAGCTGGTACTTGTTGAATTTTTCAGTTTTTACTTTGAGAGGGATTACTGAGCTTAAAGATCTGATTTTGTTGTTGTTGGGTTGTTGTTATAATTGGGAATGAAAAGCTGGTGATCGATTTCTCGGCGTCGTGGTGCGGACCCTGCAGGCTCATAGAGCCGGCCGTCCACGCCATGTCCACCCAGTTCACCGACGTTGACTTCGCCAAGATCGACGTCGACGAGTTGTCTGTAAGTCCTTCCCGCCCCCCATTTCTTCCATCAATCTTCATTAATCTCAATCTCAAATTTGTTAAATTGGGTTTTCTTTTTCATAAAAGGAGGTGGCACAGGAATTTGGAGTGCAGGGAATGCCGACGTTTGTGCTGTTGAAGAAAGGGAAGGAAGTGGATCGAGTGATCGGTGCCAAAAAGGCTGAGCTTGAGAAGAAGGTTCAAAAGTACCAGTCTCTCTAAAACCCACATCCTGCTTGTGTCGCTCTTTCAGACTTGAGTTTGTATTTCTTTTTTTGTATTTGCAGTTTCAACTTTGTTGGTCATTTTTATATAAATAGAAAGCTTTGTTGTATGAACATGAAGCAGCTAGCTGTAGGAAATCTTTAATAAATAAAAGCCTCAAAATCACAATTAAATTTCTTGTTTGTCTTTACATTATTACAAATACTAATACTATGGAGAGTTGGAGTTGCAAAGGAGAGGCTCAAACTGTGTATGATTGCTGAATTGTGTCTATGTCCAGGCCCTTGTTTCTCACCACTGATTCCACATGCCCTTTCAGGGTACTTAATTCTCTCAGCCTGCAACCCGAAAACAAACATAAAAACACCATTTCAAGTTTTCAAATCATTCATATCAAACTCAGCAGTATATAGAAGCATATCATCTAGGGCTGAAATCGAAAACAACGTGTGTTGTCCGCTACCTGGCAATTTCAGCTCGTCTCTTTGCCTCTTCAGCCATCTGATTCAGTTCTGTGTAATTACTGCGGTCGCCGAATATATTGGCTTCTGGTGGGTGCAGCCCATGGAGGGTCCTCTGTGCATGTGCCCATTTTAGCTCCCTTTCTTCCTTTCCGAAATCCTTCTTCCTCGTGAAGGCAATCTGCAAAACGCATAATTCCACAGTAGAAACAGTCAGAGCAACTCCACCAATCCAAATAAATAGGTTTACTCCATTAAACTAGAGAGTTCTTTTGCCGGCTATTCATACCCTTTGATCAATTATGAGATCCCACGCTCTCCCGCTCAGAGCATATCGGATGACGAACTTGATAAAATCAAGTGGGAAATAGAAGACGAGGTTATATAGCCAAACAACGCCAGCCCACCCCCACCCAATTCCCTTAATTGCAGCAAAACTCCAATTGGCATAGACGGCGATCAACGTAGCAATCTGCTTGACAAGAAGATTAGATTCAACTCATGATTGGATAAACTAAGGATGTTGTTCCCCCACATAACCAAATGATGCGGGCAAAAAAGCAAAAATTTCACTCACCAGCTGAGCAATAACAAAAGCTGCTACAAGTAACAGACCAGGACGCTCAACAAAAGACCAACTCCGGGAACGGGTGACGAATATGAGGGCCTGACTGATGGTGCTCACTTGCAGGTACACTGCCGAGGCAAGCTTCCTGTTGTCATCCTCGTCCTTGTGCTGGAGGCTTGAAACCCCAAATGTGCGCTGAAATAACAAACATAAGCGTTTAGCCAAGCAACTAAGTCATTATTAACAAGATCCATAACAACACAAGAAATAAAGAAGACTTACAGGGAAGAAGTCTGTCTTGCATACTGCCCAAAAGAAAATGACCGTCATCATAGCCAGGTAACCACCGAGGATGATTCCGGTTGTAAAGATCTCTGACAGTTTCCAGCTGTCTGGGAGAGGAGAGGGTTTCACCCTATCCTTCGATATCGTCATGATGGTACCTGGAATGCAATACAAATTTGAAGGGTGGATGATACGAAGAAAATGAAGAGAAGGAAATTGATGTAAATTGAACAATGTTGTCCTCTGATCCATTGAATTACTTGGAAACTATAAGACAGATACTAACCATCATTGAGAATTGCAATAATCAACACCATGAAAGGTGGGAAGTCAAATTGCCATATGAGTGCCAGTAACATGAAACCAAGCTGTCACAATACAAACAAATTAAGTGATCACCATGCCAAATGTGCAAGAAATGAAATTCAATCAAAGAAGTTTCAAAATAGCTTACCACAATACGGATTGTAATGGAAACAGCATATATCTGCAATAAGAAAGAAGCCAATTAAGGTATGTGGTTTTGGATTTGGTTGGTAAAACAGCGTGACACAGAAAACAATTGCTGGCTAATTTTGAACATTGGCGTAAACAGAACCCAGGCTCACCGTGTAATTCTTCATCCTCTGGAATATGGACCTACTGGTTAGTACGGCACTTATGATGACGCTAAGGCCAGGTTCTGTCAAGACAATGTCGGAAGCACTACGAGCTGCATCAGTTGCATCAGCGACAGCTATGCCGATATCGGCTTTTTTAAGAGCAGGAGCATCATTAACTCCATCGCCAGTCATTCCACATATGTGCTTTCTGGCTTGCAATCGTTTGACAATTTCATACTTGTGTTCTGCAGGAAAGATGCCGGAGAACTAAGCAGAAAGAATGGTAGAAGTAGGCTCCAAAAATCCACCAAAAACAGCAGAGAGAGAGAGAGGGTGAGAGAGTGAGTACCCGGGAAAACACCAGCAAACCCATCAGCTTTTTCAATAAGTTCATCAACTGGCAGAGTAACAATTGACTCATCTTTGTTCTGTCCTAACAGACTGGACGATGGATACATGTTGGTTCCCATACCTAGACGGCGTCCTGTCTCTTTTGCTATTGCCAGTTGATCACCTGATTGCAATTGAAAAGGTACAAGCAGCAGATCATAAACCAATCAGATTGATGACCAAAAGTCAGAACTGGATTTTGTATCAAAATAACATTGAAGGAGATGTACCTGTAATCATCTTAACATTAACCCCAAGGTTCAATGCCCTTTTAATTGTCTCTGCACTATCATGTCTAGGCGGGTCAAACAGAGGCATGAGGCCAATAAATTGCCAAGCCCCTCCCTGGCTCTCCTTCCTTCCATCTGGAACTTCCTGTGCATAAAATGGTAAAAGGGAAAATAAGCCACAAGAACATGAACTATAAAACATGGTAGACATGAGAAGGAAGTTGACAAGATAACCAGAGATAATGTGTGGGATGATATTACCTGGTATGCTACTGCTAGGGATCGTAAACCTCGCTCCGCAAATTTATCAATCACAGTATGTACTCTACGTTCTATCTCTGATTTATTGTGTACAAGATTCAAAATCTAAGAATGAAACCATAGGTATGAATTACTACAATTAGCACTAAAACCACTAAACAGAAAAATAGCAGCTGATAATCATACCTGCTCTGGTGCACCTTTGCTGACGCGATGCATTTTACCTTGACTGTCAATATATGTCAGAGCTGTTCTCTTATCTGTTGGGTTGAATGGAAGGAAGTGCACCTCTTGAATGCTGGCTCTGGCCTATTTTACAGTCGAAAGAAGAAACGATTAATCGTAATATGCAAAGAAAAACAAATACCAAATGTAATGCTGAAGAAGGTTCAACTTATTGTTCATTTTAGCATATGTACTTAATAATATACCTCCTTCGGATCAGCCAACATTCCCACAATAGCAGCATCTATTGCATCTTGATTTTCCATTCGGGAGGCTCGAGCAGCCATTAGAACAACGGTATCTGCATCCACCCCTTTAGCAAAGACCTGAACAAATAAATTCATTAAACGAGTTGAAAGAGGTATATTGATGAAGGAAGTTAAGAACCTTACAACACCAACCAACCTCTAAAAGATTTTTGTCAACCGAAAGCTTATTCAATGTCAGAGTGCCAGTTTTGTCACTGCAAAGGACATCCATGCCTGCCATTTCTTCAATTGCTGTCATTCTTTTAGTGATAGCGCCCTGCAACATTTATTTGAGATATGAAGATATAGCAGCTCCTAAAAAAACCCTGATAAGTAAAATTGACAAGCCTATAACATCTCAAACTTCCTGCAACTGACCTGCTGAGATAAGCGATGGGAACCAATAGCCATTGTCACAGATAAAACTGTGGGCATAGCAATGGGAATTCCTCCAATAAGTAGCACAAGCAGATTGTCAATTCCTGGTCGGTATTTGCGATGTTGAATTGGGTACATGACTATGATCTCAATAATCATTCCCACGGCAATCGAACATATACAGAAATTCCCAATGGCAGTCAACACCTACACAGCATATGAAGAAGCAAAATACAGATACAAATGCAAACTGAAATTCTCATAGCTAATGTTTGGACAAAGAAATTCTCTTAGCATATGCTTACCTTTTGAAAGTGGCCCTGTTGATTCGTGCTGTCCACAAGGTGAGCAGCCTTACCGAAAAAGGTATGAACACCGGTGGCAATTACCACTGCTTCAATCTCTCCCTGTTTGCACGTTGAACCTGAATATACGCTGTCACCGGGTCCTTTTGTCACGGGAAGTGACTCGCCTGTAAGTGCAGACTGCATAGACCAAATACAAAAAAATTAAGTAAAACAGTTGCAGTGAATCAGATTAACCTTAGTTCAAGGAAGTGAGCAATGGAGTTATCAAAGCACCTGATCAATTTTCAATGGATCGCCATCAAGGAGACGAGCATCTGCAGGAATTATGTCCCCAAGCTTAATACTGATTATATCACCAGGAACAAGAATGGATGCGTCCTGCTCAATCCACCTCCCGTCTCGAAAGACCTGACTTAAATATAACATAGTTACTAAACTGAAAAATCCCACGAGACAAAGAAATGAACACTCTAATTATAGAAACAATAAACAACTATGAATGATAGCTGCAGTTAGAAGATCACAGTTAACACAAGCAGAGACTATTCTGCTAAATACCTTGGCTTTTGGGGCAAGATGGGCCATAAGAGCAGCAGCAGCATTTCCCGCGTTGTTCTCTTCTATGAAACTTATAGTTGAATTGATAATAAGCAGAGTAATGATCCCAACAAAATCTTGCCAATCAGGAGGCTTTCCCTGTAAAAAGCAAAACCCAACAACAGGTTAATTCTACTTTTTTGAAAATACGTAATAATTCTTTTTCAATATGCATGTGGTTCATGAGAAAGCTCCAGTTTCTTTGTTTACCAGTTTTGCTCAACAGGTAGACAGAACAAGACCGGGAAAATAGAAAAAGAAAAAGGTACTCACTCCTCCATTGGCAAGCGCTATGGCCATGATAGCTGCAGCTTCCATCACCCATGACAGAGGGTTCCACATAAACCCCAAAAACTTCAAAACCTTACTTTCCTGTATAACCCAACATTACAAAATCAACCAACTAGTTATTTTTCCAAACGGAGGGAGAAATATTAACAAGTGGTTTAGTCTTCAGCTCTCTTTGTTTTCATGAAAATAATTCCAGAAGATATTAAAAAGATACAAAAATTCCTTCCAGGCATCATAAAAAGAAAAGGAGGCAGGTTGATCATAAAGCTAGAAAAGTACTACTTTTCCAGGATAGGAAGGGAGAAACATTGAATAAAAAATAGCAGTACCTTCTTCTCCTCAAGCTTGTTGTACCCAAAAATGACCAACCTTTGCTCAGCAGCCTCAGATGTGAGCCCATGTCTGTTGCACCTCAAGGTCAGAAAAACTTCTTCAAGAGGCACGTTCTCCTGCAATCAAAGAATTGTAGGATTCAGTATGGAAGGAAAAAAAAGACCACAAAACGCAAAAGCCGGAAAATAAAAATCAAAACAGAGAGGAATTCTCAGTTATATTCGAATTTGAAAACAGAGTGATGGGTTGCTCTGTTTTGGTACCAAATCCACAGCTTCCTTCAATACGGCGTCTAAAGTTCCAGATTTTCCATCCATCTCAGCCATTTGATTTCAGGTCCTCTGCAGAAGGGGTAGAATAAGTAGATACTACAAAATCACAGAAAAGAACATAGAGAGACAAAACAGAGCAATCTGTTTCTCTTTGTTTCTCAGTTATTGAACTCTGTTTATAGTTGTACCCTGTTTCTCTCTCTAATCTTCAAAGAGGCAACTGTTTGTAGGACACGGTTGTCACTAGGTGTAGATAAACAAAGAAGATCATGTATTTGGTAGGCACATACTGACTAATATCTTCTATTAAAATCTTTTTTTTCTTTTGGTTACAATTTTCCTTTAAAAGAAAAAAACCTTACTGGTGCACAGTACAGGTGTTTGATGTTGTTATGGACTATGGAGTATGAACCTTGTGGTTGGTGCACTCGACGGAATTTTTGTGTCTCTCTTTTTCTTGTTTGTTTCTGATAATATTTGAGTGATTTTAAACAGAAACGTCTGCTACCGTCTACTTCCTCAGTTTTCTTTGCTGAACGGTAAAGCTTGTATCCACTAAAAGTTAAAACCTACTGGTGCCGACGTATTCCTACTACTACCATTTATGATTGGTGATTGATTTGAAAAACAGAGCGAAAAAAGAAAAGAAAAAAAGAAAAGAAGAAGGAATGATGGAAGAAAGGTCCAAATCATTCCTGAAGAATTTGGAGCCTTATTTGTTGCAAGTTGGACTTGGTTAAGAGAAACGACACAACTACCACGTGTCAGTGTACAAGTAACATTTTACCACTTTCACTAATTTCAGCATGTGCAGACTTAGCATTTCTTGCAGATATAAGTCAGGCCGGTTGGTTGGAACAGTGAGTTCGTTCATTGTTTTCCTCTATAAATTAGATATATTATCATTTGTATAAAATAAAAATAAAAAAAAATTATGAGAAGGGGAGGAGAAGAAAGAAAAATGAAACCTTATGCTTTGGATGGACCCTTTGGTGGATGCCCATGTTTGTGAGATGCAATCTAAAATTATATATTTGGGGACCATTTTTTGCGTACGTGTTGTGGTATGTGGTTATGATAGTGATACATGAATTAAAAATCCAAAGCAGATAGAGACCAGAAAATCCTACCCTCCACAAGACGATGAAAGAGAAGTCCCTATTAAATTCAAAGCTTTGGCAATTGGCACCACACAAGGAAGTGAGAAAATTGTGTCATCTTCTCTGTTTTCTCTGTCTTTCTTTCTCCTCCTCTGCTGCTTTTCTTCTTCTTCTTCTTCTTCTATACCCTTTGTTGGCTTTTTTGGCTATTTGGGTAAATACTATAATCAGATTAAGCGACTGATGTTTATCCAGGAAACTCTTTGTTTAACTTGGATTAGTTGAAGAGTGGCTCAACAAAATATATACATGTATTCATACCTGCTCTCTCTCTCTCAGCTGCGGACACGTGTTTGTCCAGGCTTCCCATCCACAACTACTATAGTAACTGGTCTAATTAACGCTCAATTTAAATACACTTGTTTTCTCCTTAAACAAAATATTTAGTAGCATTTGTCAAACTGCATGCTCTCTCCGAACCCTAATGAAAACCTGAGATATTTGCTTCTACAAGCATGTAATACGTGGAGGGAATAAATTCTAAAGTGGACCAAAAATTAATGAGCTCCTTTAACTTTGATGCCCACCACTGTAATGTAATTATCCTGTTCTTCTTTAATTATGTTCCAAAAGGATAAGCTCAAAAAGACAAATCAAAAGCGAAACTGATTTATATCTACTGATTTCGATGCTTGCTCAAATACCATATGGAATATAAGTCCACAACTCACCGACGCCAAAACACTATTTGATGGATGACTAACCATGCATCCTAAATTAAGAAGACCCTCTACCCCTAAATTATTTAAACAAAGACTGAATTGAGGAACCCAAATAAAGACATAAGAGATTAAGAGCATCTCCATCCATAAGGACTAAGGCAAGGGCAAGTACGGGCTGCCACTATTCACGTGAATAGTGGCAGCCTTGCCATTTGTGGCTCCACCCCAAAAGGGTAGGGCAAGGGCAAGAAAAAAAAAAAGCAACAAAATATAAAATTGTTATGTATTTATAGGGAAAACATCCATAATTTGTAGGTATTATTTTTTTCAGTTTTTTTGAATTTTTTTTGCTCGCTGACGTCAGCGTAACATCACCACTGACGTTAGCGCCTTCGGGCTGAAGCCCAGGCAAGATCTGCCCTTGGGCTTGCCTGGGCTGGTGGAACCCAGGGCTTGCCCGGGCTGCATTGTTTGCGCTGGAGGTCCAAACCTCACCTGGGGGGGCCTGTTGCCTTGGCTGACCTGCAGTGGTGGACTTACTCTAAGTGAGTCAGTTGGTTACGGCAGTGTACCAGCCACTTTGCACACGTGTTGACAATATCTTTATACAAATGATTGAAAAAAAAAGAGTACAGAATTTGGTTTGGACTATCCCTACAGAAGGAAAACCAGAAGTGATCACAACCATTGTTGTGAAATGCAAAATGTTATGGTTATGGGTGGGCATACATGATACATGAATTGATAACCAAAGAAATCTAATTAAGGAAAAGCTAAAACGATACGGCACCATATTCTATAAATTAGTCGTCTCCATGATCTCCCCCTCATTAGTTTGTCACAACTCGTTATTTCAAAATTACTGTAACCAAATATCTTTTTTCGCGAATATTATTGGTAGGTATAAAGTCATTAAAAAAAAAAGGCAGATTACGAACCAACTACAGAATACCAATGAAATACAACGCACTCCGTATATCAAAAGGCAAGATTTAGAATAGAAACATGCCAAATTTAATTGAGAATTGCCATCCGATGATTGCAACCTGGACAAATTGTAGACCCCACTCAAAAACCATGCCCCAATGAGAGTGGTAAAAGCATAACGATCAACAAAATGAACTTTTTTTTTGGTTTGTTATTGATTTCATTGATTTCAAATATCAACGCAATACAGAACAATTCATTACAGATATTCTTCTTCTTCTTTCTCATTTTGCTCGAGCTTTAACAGGAGGGAGACGGAGGAGAAGGGCCCCAAGAGAGGCGGACATGGAGGGAGATAGGCGATTGGGAGTCATTGGTAGGCGGTTGTGGTAACGCTGCTAAAGTAATAACACTGCCTAAACTGAAGTGATAAATTACAAGATGATATAAAATTGAACGATTTAGTTTAAAGCAGAACAGTAAAAACTGCCCGTCTTTTTCATATCGGAAAGCGGGGTAGAAACGACTTTATATATTTTTCGTATTAGCAAACTTTCCCCTGCTTATTTGCCTTTTCAATAGTAGGAAATCTTCGCAGACATTCCAATTAACTTTTTCATATTCTTGTGGCAGGCGCTCTCAATTTCTGACTAACATGGTTACCTTCAACAACATTTATCAGTGGCTCTCAATTGTCGATCTTCCAAAATTTCTCTGAAAGTTCTCAAAATTGACATCGGTTGTTCAACTTCAACCAACCAAAGTTCAGTGTATATCATGGTGAAAACAACCAAAGAATGTTTAAAAACAAGGAAAACAAAACGGGTGGCTGGGGAAGGTACTTGCTACTTTCCGTTAGAATTAGCGTGCTTATGAAAAGGCCAAAGATTTACCAGGCGCTCAAGCACTGCTGCACTTTTTGAGAAATAACCTGAAAATCCTGCTGGAGTTGATGGTGGAGGAAAATCTTCCGCTGGCATAGCAAATGAGCGTATCATTTTCTCCATTTTATCCAATGTCAGATATGATCCTGCTTCTTGCAGCCTCTCTGGACCCATAACTGGTAGTGTGTGCTCTTGACGCAATGAAGCAGCCTTACTGTCATTGTTCTGCCAAGCAAAAGAGAAAACACAGCTTAGTTTGTTGGACAGGCAAAAACAACTTACATGGTAGATTTCATTCCTCAATAACCAATTTTGTCTACTTTATTGATATTCCTGTTCTCTCCATTCATTCATTCAGTACCAATTGTTTTCTATAATTCAGGATGTATTACCTCCAATGGTGATAGATCTGCACCACGGCTAAAGGTCATTTCCACGCGAAATTTTTTTGGGTCTTCAAGAGCTACCTGCAATTTCATTCAGTTTAAAAATATATTGGTCTCAGCGTTTTCTACCCCAAAAAACAAAAACTAATTAACAAAACATGAAAAGGAGTGGCTGATTTGACCAGTAACATTCGCGAGCTTGTCTTTTAACACTAGCTCTGAGAATTGACTGTGACACAAACTAAAATAACCACGAAGAAATACCTACCCTCCAAAACCTATTTACTCACCGCTGTATTCTCGAACATCCTCAGCACTATATAACTCATGTAGTCAAGCTCCTTAGTTTTGAATAAACGCTCCAAAGCACTATAACAAACGAGGCCATCTTCTCCTTGAAGAGATTCGTCCAGGTTACAGTAACGGAGAACATTCATGAGAGAGTGGATATGAGATTCCTGTCATTCCAAAATCTAAATTAATTTACATGAACTCAGTTCAAATATAAAACTGCACAGAAAAATATATACTCACTGATGTAAAGTAAAGGCGTGTCCGCACATGGCGTTCAGGTGTTCTGACATTGGCGTACCTGAGAAAGTAAAGATAAATTATCAATCTTGAATAGATACTTCGGTTTATAGAATAGTCAACAACAAAAAGGAAGAGGGGGTGGTGGGGTGATGGTCTCTTATATTACTTTGGATCCAAACGATATTGGGTCTCTTTATCATCATCGTCATCCTGATCGATTGATATCTCACTTGTCGTACTAGATCTTCTCGTATCTTCGTTCTTAATGTAAAGCTTTGATATGTCAGTTGCGCTAGATTTTCTGTCATCATTCTTAACATGAAGTTTTGGATGGTACTCTTTCTCTTCCTTTTCAGAATTGGTCAACTTCGACGTTTCGTCCTGATTACTCTTTGGTTCAGCTACACTGATGGCTTCTTCACGAGTATTCCTCAGATCAATCATTATCTTACCCAGCAAACGACGAGCAATCTGAATGAAAAAGAAAAGAATATAGCATATCAACAGGGAGTAAAGATACAATGTGGAATGAATATGTCGGAAAAAGATCAATGTACAAGAAGCAGTTGACCAACGAGAAACTAAGGCCAATGCATAGATTGGTTCTTTTTTGCAGTCACATGACCATCGAGTGGCTTCATAAAGTCTTAAGGAGCCAATAATGCGCCTAATCTGTCTATTACTGTGATTCCAGATTCTCTTAACATAAAGAGTAATATGAAAGGAGCATGCTGACAGGAAGGCTACCTTTGAACCAATCTTGAGCTTCTGTGTTGGGTTAATGCCATACTCATTTGGGATGACTCCATCTGCAAGTAACTGCAATTACAATACCACGGAAGACTCAGTCTAATTGTGATGATGAACCTACCTGAACTAACATTTGGCATGCCTACCAAGGAGAAATGATTAAATACGCAAGAGACTGATTTCCTAAAAGCTTATACTGAGATATTTGCTCATGTAAACTTCTGAGGCTTTCATTTGAAAAGGAGAACAATCTCTTTAAAGCTGTAAGGCATGAGGCTCAAGAACAGAATGATGAAGAGTCCAGCAGACACACTTTGCTATGTAATAAAAACATACTAGTGTCTTGATTATTTCTGTACCTGAGCAACTTTAAAGAGTTCATCCAGACCTTCAAGATTAAGATGTGCATTGTGCAGAAGATCATATCTGTCAAGTGATAACAAATCAGCCACCTTCGGCAAAAATAACTCTGGACTTTTATAAGACCATTGGCATCCAGAGATAAACTTTGGGTTGTGAACTTTTGATAAACCAGTAAGCTCGATTTTTAACTTAATTTATGTGGGGATGCAGCATAAGATAGATATAGAATTCAAAGTGCTTAGCTTAAGTTAATAGAAAGCTAAACAAATTTTCCTTGCATTCTGCTACATTACATAGTCCTTCTGTATTTACTAAGCTAGTTTGAGAATACTATGCCCACAAAATTCATGCATGCACTAACATGTCCTGATATGTTCAAAAAAAAAAACAGTCCAGAACAACATCATTAATATGGCATTCTCATGCTATATACAATATGATAATTGCAAAGTCTCACATGAGCCGACAACTATGTAGAAATATAATCACATGAGTAGTAGCTAATTGCACATATTTGGTACATTATATAAAAGAGAAGAAAATTGAACTTACTTGCATGAGTCATAAACATCCGGGATTTGTGTTATGTCGAATCGTCTGCCAGAAAATCCAGTGTCAACAAAACTGTGAGTCTATCAATATTACACTGTAAAACAACTAGAATCTTATTCTCAGCAGTCGCATCTTTATGAGCCACAACTAAATTTTTGCATAAAATAGTAGGTAAGATAAATTTAAAAAGAACCCAAAAGTTAATATATCAAAATCTTAAGATTGATGCCCCAAAAGAGATTTCATATCTTCAAAAAGTCCTTTGCACTGGCTTGTGGGCAAAGAATTTTAATAGATACAACCACAGCAATCTACACCAGAGACAACAACCAAATTAAAATAAAATAAAAACTGATGGTAGCACTTACTCTTTTCGTTCGTTGTACAAGTCCCTTACAAGCTTTCTCCAACGAGCATACATCAAAAGGAATCCCTCACTGCCACATGGTAACCCAGCAGCAATACGATCAACATCGATGTTAATCTTACCAAGGGCCTTTGCTTGGTCATAAGGAAGTATCACATCATATGAGCTTGTCTTTGTAAGTTCCTCATCTTCATCCTTGGCTAGCAGTCTTACTTGTTCAGTGACCTTCTTAGTTAATTTTACCTATTCATTAGATAAGAAACATTAAGGAAAAACAAGGTGATGGTAGTGTTAAGGATGATTTGGATCGCTTTGAAACAGAACTGCAGCAATCTGCCTGTTAGAATAAGCAAAAGGACATAGAATTGCACGTAATATCTCAGGGCACTAACAACTGCATCAACTGGACTTTTCACCCCGTGAAGTGGAGCGACAAAAGTTTTGAGAATCCAACACGAGGCTACAACATGATGAGTATCATTATCATAGGTGTCAAATGAAAGTTATGTCTGCAGCCAAGGCACTTAACATGACTCCATCAAATTGATCAGGCAATCACAATCGCAATCTACTCTCACTGTTCAACTCTTTGAGAATATGAAAAATTCAATGTTTTTTAGTCTTATACAAGATGACAAACTAAAAGTCTTTGGGTGTCCCCTCCAGTCAAGAATTTGAGCCTCACAATCACTAGCCAATATTTTCCAACATTTGAAATTGACATGCTTCAGAAAAATGAAGAATAATATACTTGATATCAGGAGCAATACAACTTGTAGATAAGCAAACAGAATGCATTTACCAATTTGGGTAGAAGTTCAGAAGCATTTGAAGGCAGTCCACTTCCATCAGCCATCCAAGGAGATGTTGCATTGTTATGAACCGTCTTTGCACCAGAAGTAATAATTTCATTCAACCTAGCCTG